ATGTACGGTCAAAGAGGAGGGTCTTGAGATGGGTCTTGAAGGACAGGAGGGACTGTGAGATGGAGTTCCAGAGGGCGGGGGCAGATTGGCTGAAGGTCTGCCTGCCAATAGTGGGACGGACGAGGTGGGAATGTGATGGAGGCCAGAGCCCGCTGAACGAAGGGAGCAGGCCGGTTGGTAAGGGGTTAGGAGGTCGCAGAGGTAGGGGGAATAAGGCCATGGAGGGCTTTGAAGGTGAGGGCCAGGATCTTGAACTGTATAGTCTGTGATAGGAAGCCAGTGGAATCGGAACCATGAAGGTTGAGGTGAGGGGAGAGATGGTGGAGGAGGATAGAGTGGTCAACGGTATCAAGGCGTGTGGAGTAAGGAAACTTGCCCAACATTTCCCCCTGCCCGGGAGTGAGACAGCGGCGGAGCTGGGCAGTATTGCAGAGGTAGGGGAAGGCGGGCCATGGCATGGATGTTGGGTAGAAAGGATAGTTAAGGGTCAAACAAGACTCCAAGTTTCCGGACTGGCTTAGTAAGGTGGAGAGGCACCTCCGCTCGACTGGCACAAGCCTCCTGCTTGTCCCTCACACCCTCTGCCCCACCATCGGAGGTCGCGCTTTCAGCCACTGTGCCCCAAAACTCTGGAACACTCTCCTTCAATCCCTCCGCCTTGTCCCTCCTTCTCCTCTTTCAAGTCCCCCAACTGAAAATTTTCCTCTTCGATTGTGCTTACGTCCACCGCTCCACCTCCCGGCTCAGAGTCAGACTCCACCACTGTTAAGCTCTCTGAGACGTTACCCTGCGCGGAGGGTGCTATATAAGTGTGAGTTGTTGTTGAGTTGGTATCCTTGGATGCTGTCAGCACCTGAGGTGAGGAGGCGCTGACAGGAGCCAATCAGAAGAGCCTCGGTCTTGTTGACTCGACTTTCAACTGAAGGAAGTTAGCTCTCATCCAGGACTTGATGTCTGACAGACATTCTGACAGGACAGCAGTGGGTCTTGGAGTCGGGGACGGAGGCAGAGAGGTAGAGTTGGGTGTCATCCGGATACATGTGGAAGTTAACCCCATGTCTGCTGATGATGCTACCAAGAGGGAGCATGTAGATATTGAAGAGGAGGGGACCAAGGACAGAGCTTTGAGGAACGCCGCATGAGACGGTATGGGGGTTACAGGAGAAGCCGTTTATGCAGATGAAGTGGAGACGGTGTGAGAGGTAGGATCAGAACCATTCAAGGACAGAATCATGAAGGTGAGAGAGGAGGTGGTGGAGGATATCGTGGTCAACAACAACTTGCATTTATATAGCACCCTTCACACAGGACAACATCTCGGACCACTTAATAGTGGAAAAGCCTGATGCCCAGCCAGGGGGAGGAAGGAGGTGACCATAAGCACGATCGAAGAGGAAGGTCTTCAGTCATGATCTAAAAGAAGGGAAGGAGGGACAAGGCGGAAAGATTGGGGAGATATAAAGATAAGTATATATTTATAATATAAATAATATAATTGTATTTTAAGCCTGCAAATATACGTAAATTCGCCCACAAAATACACACAGGCCCACCACTTCACAGTAAAGCCCAGAGAAGCGTTTTGAGACATCTTAACAGACGTGATAAGGTACCGCATCCGGTGAAAGATTAATATCTTGTGCAGGATTTAATACCAGTGATAGGGTGGTACTATATCGAAGGTTGAGACTTGAAATAATACCTGGCTATTCCCACACAACTGTGCTCTTGCCAACCTGCATCTAATATTCTCCGGAATTAGATAAGCAGGGTGCGTTCCCGCTGGAGGGAATATGTACGTATTCCATTACGACCACAAAGGAAGTTCTACGTGTTGACCTTCTTCTTTGCTGTAAACTTTCTATATTTCTGTAAAGCACCCCTGGCCCTAATTACTGCCCAGGAAGGAAGCCCTCCCCAGTTTTGCTGTATATTTAATTTTAATTGGAAAAAAAACACAGAAAATCTTATATGAAGAAATGAATGAATGCTTGTAAAAACAATATGTTGATGATATTAATATATATCCTGGATGCTAACCTGTGTGAAGAGAGTTATATAAATGCAAATTGTTGTATGATCTTTTTTGCACACTTAAAAAATTTCATCTGCATACCACTACCCAACAATAAATTCATACCAAAACAGAAGTCGCTGGGAACACTCAGCAGGTCAGGCAGCATCTATGGAGAAAGGAAAGTGAGTCAACGTTTCGGGTCCACGACTCTTCGTCAGAACTGGGGTATGTTGGGAGGGAGAGGCTTTTAAGGGCTAACAGAGAGGGGGAGAGGCAGGGCAAGGAATACAACTGAGAAAATGGGGTAGAGGACAGGGGATGATGGGTTAAAGAGGTGTTAATGATGGGTTACGATCAAAAAGATTTGTATTTTGCGTTTTGTTTAACAAATTCATACCAGTGGGCAGCAAAACATTACCTTGACGACAGTCCGTCGGGTCAGCCTAGTGAACATAACTTACATTGATAGTGCCTTTCAGGCAGGATAGTGTCTTGGAGCACTGCACAGTGGTGGGGTTGGACACTGAGCGAGGGAGAAGTGACCATAGGTGCAGTCGAAGAAGTAGGTCTTAAAGTCTTTATAGTGAAGTGTTAATCGTTTTCAAATCCCTTCATGCGCTCGCACCTTCCCTACCTATCCGATTTGCTTACCCACTGCCTCCACTTGGCCAGCTCCAGCCCTCTGTTCGTCCCTCGCTCACTCCGCTCCACCATCGTTGGCCGTGCCTTCAGCCACTAGGCACTGAAGCTCTGGAACTCCCTCCTTCAATCCCACCGCCTTGCCTCCTCCCTCCCTACTTTCAAATCCCACTTTAAGACCTTCCTTTTTTGATTGCGCTTACGGTCACCTCCCCTCCCTCTCTAACCCTGTTTCGGACTCAGAGACCACCACAGCCAAGTGCTTCAGGACGCTACCACTCGTGAAGGGCACTGGTTAAATGCAAGTTGTTGTTGTTGAAGACTGAATGATCCATTGATTCAGCCTGTGCCACAACCTGTAGCTTTCTGTTCACCATTACATCAAGTATCCTGAAACTGTTTTTCAGTCGAGCGCGACAACAAATACAAATACAGAGAGGCGGACGTGTAGAGAGCAAAGTATTTATTGTTATGCAAACCAGAAATTCAGCATCACTGAATTGGGTCGTGTGAATGTGATCCTGTACAGTACATTTAAAATTAGTCTCTACTTGAATATTCTCTACAATGCATTTGCATAGTTGTAAACTTCCAGAGATTGCCCACAGGAACCAGGGCTACTACTCTGTGTGAGTAAACATGACCACCAAATTAGTCGCAGTTGACTGTTTGTGAACTTAACATATTACTCGCATTGAGCTGATGGCACAAGTGGTGGCAGAATGTGCGTGTCGAAAGGATTATCATACAAATAATCCTTACATTTGATGTAACGACAACAACAAATTGCCTTTCACGTTGGGAGGACATCCCAAGGCGTTGAAATAGCATCTTAATATTCCCAATATAGCATCACTTCACAGTACTGTAAAGGGTTGTGACTGTATGTTTTTGCAGGTGACCACAGCAGGTAAATTGCCCACAGCATCATCACACAAACAGCCATGAAGTTAGTGACTAACTTTATCTCGATTGCTGGTCAGGACATTGAGAGAAATTCACTTTTCGAATAGTGCTGTAAGATCTTTAAAAGTACACCTGAACTCAAGTTTAACATCTCATCCGAAGGGCGGCACCTCCGACAATGAACTCACCCCCAGCACTGCATTGGAGTGTTAGCCTAGACTAGGTTGAGAATTGGAACTCCTTTGAGACATCTCAAAGCGCGTCACAGAATATACTGTAAAGCGATCTCAGGACACAGCCCAGGTCTCACAAGCAAACACAGTACACAGATGGAGTCTCGAGGTTCAGCGAGACAAGGAGACCCACGGACTCCAATCACATCTATTCGTAGGCTCCGAAGCAGAGCCCAGATCTCACAAGTCAGTGTGACAAGCACAGATCTCCCTGCAGTAAACACAATGTGTGTTGCAATTGTTTCCACCATTCTGCCCCTAACAATTTTTTTCCCCAACCCAGCTCGTAGTACGAGCAGTAAATAATCAGTTTACAGTAGTATTTGCATATCCTAAATATTAATGTGCATGGGATTTGGCACATATTCAAGGTGCATTCTTTAAACATTAATGCCTGTTGGCAAATGGACTCGATTGTACTCAAAGCTCCGCTATTTTGTCTGAGGCTCTCGGGAAGCACGAAGCAAATAAAAGGCCTGAGTCTGAATTATCCTCAGGGGGGCATGAGAACCAAGCACCTGAAGGAAGCTGTGACTAAGGCAGGAAATAGACCTCTGTGTGAACAACAAGTTAACCACCGAGGGCCTGAACAGATTCCATCACTTTCTCTCCTATTTTATGCGATAGTGTTGGATGGCTCTGATGCATTGATTCAATGTAAACAAATCTAATTTAATTTCATTTTGTTTCATAGAGAATAATTCATCCACACGAGAGACAGTCACCACATTTTAAAGTGGATAATAATAATAATAATAATAATCCTTACATCTGATAAAGCGCCTTTCACGTCGGGAGGATTTCTCAAACCACTTATCGGTATAGACTATGAAGCTTAGAGAGTGAATTTTGTGGGCGAACACGACAGTCAATTTGAACACACCAAACAGCCATGAAGGGAATGACCAAATTTTCTCTGGGGGCTTGTTGTCCAGGACACTGGAAGAAACTTCGTTCTCTTTACGAATCGTGTCATGTGGCTAAACAAGCACAAATTGTGAAGGAAGGCACCTCTGATAATGCAAGGCATTGCAGCACTAAACTGGAGTGTCAGCTTAGACTATATGGGCTCAAGTCCTGTCCTGGAACTTGAACCCACAAACTTCTGACTCAAGAGGTGAGAGTGTTACTGACTGAGTTAGGTTGACACATCCTGTCAATGCTTTGAGACGTCCTCCCGACGTGAAAGATACTATATCGAATGTTTTGCGAAAAATAAAACAGAATCCACTTATTTTTCTTTCTTGCCCTTTTGCTTTTTGCTCTTCATCGCTGTCTTCGATGTCCCATCCTACACACAAAAACACACAGAGAAAAAGAAGCAATAAAAATACATTCTGAAATGTGTGGCAGCAAAATAAAAACATTTCAAAGGCTGAGGTAGGTCCACAGGCAACAAACCTAGTGGGAAAATCCAGCAGTAATGTGCAGTTCAGAGAGAGTTTAAACAAATATAAAAAAATGCAATCATACTTAAATTGTCACTGTGGGGTTGTGTCAGAGTATTCCGAGTGTAGATTACAAATCAATACAAAAGTATAAACGTATGCAGTACCTACTTAAGCACGACGCATTTCCCCCTGCATAAGGGCCGTCAACTCCTTAGACATCTATTTAGTCAAATGATCAAACCAGCTCTCGTTGTCTGCAGCACCTCAGAATGAGCAATCCTGCATAATATACTCATAACTTGGTATTTCAATTCCACATACGCACGGTTTAAATACTGTAAATGGACTTTCAACCTCCCCTTGAAGATACAATCAGAAGTTTATAATAATAATAATACTTGCATTTGTTATACAGTGCCTTAACATGTCGTTGAGACATCCCAACGTGCTTAACAGGATTTATTGTAAAGTCCAGTGACTGTATATTTGAAGGAGAACACAGCAGCCAATTTGCAGACAGCAATGTATCTACAAAGAGCCAGAAAGTAAATGACCAATTTAGTCCGGGAGACTGTTGGCTAGGACACCGGGAGAAACTCCCTACTCTTTTCGAATAGTGCTCACGGGATCTTTAACATCCATCTGAAACAGGCAAATGGGACCTTGGTTTAACATCTCAAATCTAAAGGACAGTTTCTCCAATAAAGCAACCCACCCCAAAACTGCACTAGAGCATCAGCCTAGACTACAAGATCAAAATTTCGATGTTTGGTCAGCTCTGGGTCATATAGGATGTTACGATTCCAGAGTTTACTGAGCTCCCAAAATAATGTGTGGTTCTGATGAGAAGTCAAACTGAGGTCCTGTCTACCTGTTCAGGTGGTCATTAAAGATCTCATTGCGGAGACTGGAGGAACTGGGACTTTTCCATTGGAACAAAGAAGGTTGAGAAGTAATCTGATAGAAGTCTTTAAAATTATGAGTTTTGATAAAGTCAATAGGGAGAAATTATTTCCACAAGCCGGTGAGTCAGTGCCCAGAGGGCATCAATCTAAGATAGTGAATGAGCAAATGGGACTTCGGGAGTGCTGTTAGGATATGGAATGAGCTGTTGGGAGTAGTGGTTGAGGCAGACTCCAGACTAGCTTTCCGAAGGGAACTAAATAGATATCTAAAGAGGGGTAGACTACAGGGTTACGGGGAAAAGGCATATACATGGGACAGAAAGGCTTGCTCTTTAAAGGCCAGCAGAGCCTAATCTTAACCCATGTTTTTCTCCATATTCCTTATTACTCTTTATTACTCAAAATGCTCCGAAGCACTTTAATTATTGTCAAGTTTAGTCACTGTTTTGTAGACAAACGCGGCAGCAATGAAACCACAAAGCAAAATCCCACAAAAAGCCATGAGTTAAAGGACCAATTAATCTGCAGGAGCATTAGCCAGGACACCATGAGAAACCTCCTTAACTTTTTGAATAAAGCCATGGGACCTTAAAGAACAGTGCCATAGTAGCTAATAATAATAATAATCTTTGCATTTGATATAGGGCTTTATGACTTCTTCAAGACATTTCAAACCGCTTTATACAATATACTGTAAAAGTGAATTGACTGTGTATTTTGTGGGCAAAATACCCACTTAAGAATGTAGGGGGGAACCTCGATTTAATGTCCCAATCTAATCCCACAATGCAACAACAACAACAAATTAGATTTGTATAGCGCCTTTCACGTCAGGAGGACGTCCCAAGGTGCTGTACAATGTACTGGAGTGTCAGTCTGGTCCAGACATGAGATCAAGCCCCACCACCTTCTAACCTGCGAGGCAAGAGTGCTACCAATTGAGCCAAACTGACACCTCTTATAAGTGTGTTTTGTGAAACGATAATTTCTGGCTGCATCCCTCGCTTGTGGTCTGTCAAGCATTATTTGATAAGAACAATTAAACCCAAAGGGAAAGTGTGCGCTGTAGTAGGAAGGTATAAAATTGACAGGAAAATTGGGTAGACTTCAGCAATGTTTTAAACATCTTAATGAGAATCGCAGAATAAAAACGCTTCACTGAAATGTTTAATGCTGCAGGGGTTTGAGGAACAATTTCATTGAATAAGTTTGGACTATTACAAACAAAATCGCAATATCTTTCCAATAAGAAAACACTTTTTAAGTACTGGAGAACAAACAATGGGTTTTCAATTTTAAGTGAATACAAATCAGGTTTAAAACCATGGTTTACCTCATTTCTGAATGACACAGATGTCAAGACAAAAAGTGCCTGAAGCCAGATGTGTCAAATTATGCACATTTGTGTTAACATAGGCACCATCAGGATTCACGTGGGAGTATCCTGTCAGACAGACAGAGGATCCTGGCGGTCCACGCATTATATTTTTGATTATTCTTAATCTAAAAAACACACTTGAGTATCTACACAAAGTTAAAGCTTTTAATTCAGTGCCCATCACCATCGGCAATGCTAGATATGAAAATAAATTAGTTGCCATTTTATCACCGACCTGTCTCGTTGGATCTCGATTACTTTTGAAACGAGACTTCGCCTACAGAAAACAGTCACTACATTTGACAGCAACTGTTTGTGAAGTGCTTTGAAATGTTTTGATGTGATAATGTGCCATCCTTATGCCAACTCTTTACAGATTATGCTGTAAAGTGTAGTGACTGTGTTCTCTGTGGATACCCATTTGTAATGAAACAAATGCAAATATCAGAACAAAGAATCTTTATGAGAGTATACGCAAGTCAGATTATTCCGATCTTTATCAATCCTCCCTCTCCTCCCCACCCCCCATTCAACGCAGAGACTCATTTGGTCATGATGATCACAGCCTGTGCCTATAGAAAACAGTCACTACACTTTACAGTAATTTCTTGTGAAGTGCTTTGACATGTTTTGCTTGTGATAAAGTGCCATCCTTATGCCAGTTCTTTCTTTTGACAAGACTGTGACAGAATACGTATGAAGGTATTCAGACTGCCTTGAGACGTCAGCGCCTAGGGACGTCTTCGCAACGTGAAAGGAGCTATATAACTGCAATTTGTTGCTGTTTTTCCCCAGCTGGCTTTCAATTTAAGACTGGGGGTTTGCTCTGCTGAGAGCAAAGCGTAGCACAATGATAAGGAAGGCTGTTGCAGACATGCATAATTCTGGAATTGGATGTTCGTTTTGGAATTTTACCACAGATACAAAATATACTTTTATACAATGGGTCGTCCAAAGAAAATGGCTGGCAGCTCTGCTTCCATGTGGCCAAAGTGCTGATAGGGGTGCTGAGTTCACATAGCATGCAGTACTCAGAAATAATCTAAGATGACACTCTCCAGTGGAGTGCTGTTGGGGAGTACCGCCTTGCTGGATGTGCTTTGGGTAAAACATCAAACCAAAGCCACGTCTTTGTCTGTTCAGATAGATAATAAAAATCCCACAGTGCTACTCGAAAAGAGAAGGGAGTTTCTCCCAGTGTCCTGCCCAATAATCTCCTGAATAAAACTGGCCATTCACTTCATGGCTTTTTGGTGGGTCAACTGCTGTATGCAATTTTGCTGCAGTGTTTGCCTACAAAATCCACAATAGTTACATTTCACAGTGAATCCTGTGCAGTGTTTTGATGATGTGAAAAGTATGATACCAAATGCAAGGATGATTGAGATTAGATTTTCACCATTGATATTAAAATGTACCGACCAGCCATTCCCTACCCTCCTAGGGCACCCGCCTGTTTTATGTCCTCTGCTCTACCTGCCCCAACATTGGCGGTTGAGTTTTCTGCGTATCTGCAACTCCCTATTTTTGTCCCTATTTCTCGTTCCTTCCCTCGCCTCTCTCCTTTAAGATCTGCCTCAAAACCTTTTTCTTTGACCCCACTTTTGGTCATCTTTCCCCTCCTTACACACCTCAGCTTTCACCCCCAACTGGGTGGCGGAGGGAATCGAGGGAGGGGAAAACCAGAACTGAGATATCCTCCTGACATGAAAGCTGCGATATAAATGTAAATTAATTTGTATTGTAAATACCCAAATGTTGGAGCGGGCCTTGGAGTGTTTCACATGTTTTGTTTTGCTTGCACTGGATCGTGGAACTGTCAGCGTTGAATAATCCTCTGCCAATTCTTTTGCGGTTACCGCATTATTGAACTCAGTGCTGAGACTCACCACTGTTTCGCTGTAGCCTTCATTCACAAGAATGTTTCTTGCAGAGTTATTGATGTGTTTGAAGCGATCAGGACCAAGCAGGATACCTCCATACCATCGCGAAACCACCACCATCACATTCCGCACATCCAAGATCTGTTGAGACAAACAGTGATTATGAAATAGGCCCGTGGTGAGAGAGAGAGACAGAGACAGAGAGACAGAAAGAGACGTATCGCTTTCAAAAGAGAAGTTTTGAAACAAAAAACACTTCAGTTTTAAAAGATTGTTTAAGAAAGTGAATAAAGCTCTCACACTGAGAAGAGTTTTATTCAATACTTATTTGTTCATGTGATTTCTCAGCACCTTTGAACCGCAACTTCTTATAAACCTCCCAGGTGTTAGCCAGGCTCAGCTAGTAACATTCTGAGACAGAAGGTTGTGACTTTGAAGTTGGGGACTTGGAACTCACATAGTCTAGGCTGACGCTCCAGTTCAAGGCCTTGCACAGCAATGCCCCACAAACAATCATGAAGTGATTGACTGATTTTATCTGAAGGATTGTTACCCAGGAGACCAGGAGAAACTCGAGAAAGCAACAGCTAATTTACAGGAATATTTTCCTAGAGTTCATTTTGTACTTAATTGGCTTTCATTAGAACCACCATTAAGCACAGCGCATATTAAAGTGCTCTAATATGTGAAATAATCTTTACTTATTGTATTTTAATGCAGCTTTTTCTTTTGATGATGTCCTGCTTTATTTTCTGCCAGTTTTCTTCATGTTAACGACCCACACTCAAGCAAAATGCAAATCAAAGGATAATCAAATGTAAAGCACAGCGTGTTCTATCACTTTACAATTTGGATTGTTATAAGCCAAGAAAATGTCAAGCTTTCATTAAAATGAGACTGACTTACGAATTGAGAGGTTCGACTGATAGAAGATGTAAGCCCAACAAGCAATCAATGTCTCCGATGGTGAGTAAAACTTTCAACCCAGAGAAGTCACTAGGGCTGATTCTCTGCTGGTTGGTAATTATAGATTGTGGCTGCGTGAATTTACTCCCATTATAAGCTAGCATTACATTGCCAAAGTCAGGGGAATTCACCCCAAAATCAAAGAAACGCCCCAGAATGTGAGCTTGTCTCTTCATTTGACGAGTTCGCCTACAAAGTACACAGTTATTTGATGTAAAATCCTGTGAAACTCTTTAGAGTATCGACAACATAATAAAGCGCCATATCAGATGCAAAGATTATTATTGACATTGGGTGTTTAATAAAAATAAAAACAGAGCTGAACAATGTACTTAAAATCATTGTATCAGGCAAGCTACAATGTTATAAAGTTTTTTTTTATCAAATCAAATTTCCCCCGACACTGATGTGGACTCAAGAGATACAGAAGCCCAGTCAAATGCTCTCTTACCTGCATGAGGTGGAGAAGGCGCCCGCCAGCTGCTGTCTCACCATCATCTTCACAGTCCTGCAGGAAGGTCTGCTTGTCTTCACAGTATATCCTGAAGAATCAATAACTCACACTGCAGATATGCCTTACATGGATCACATAACCCTCCTAGCTAGGACTTTGTAAAATTGAAGTCTGCAATCACTTCAGGCAAATCAATGCTGTTTTTCCTCCTCCCTCTGCATTCATGCTCACTTCTGGGCTACCAACTAGGGCTGAAAAAAATAACTTTCATTTTTGAAGCACTTGATTGGGTCTAAAATGCCTCAAAAAACCTCATGAGTAATTATCGTCAAGAATAATGACTTTTCTTTTTGGTGGGCATTTGCACCAATATGGCCTCACAAATACCCATGAGTCCTGTAGCTCAGTGGTTAGAGCACTCGTTTGCAAGCGAGAGACCTGAGTTCAATTCCAGGCAGAGGGCGAAACCTTGGGCAAGTTTCCTTACTCCACACAGAGCCTAATAATAATCCCTCCAAAACCAAAAACAATAATAAATTGGTCATTTTCAATCTACGACTGTTTGTGGGACATTGCTGTGCGCAATTGGCTGCCGCGTTCACCCAAATATATACAGTCAATTCACTTTACAGTGTGTTCTGTGAAGCGCTTTGGGACGTCCTCCCGACGTGAAAAGCGCTATATCAAATGCAAGGATTATTATTCTGAGGTGAATGAACAGTTAGTCTGAAGGATTGTTGACATTGGGAGCGAAAGTAGAATATTCCCCCTATATCATTTATACAAAGCAACACCACAGGCTTCACAACATAGCAATTTCAGTACTCACAGCTGTAAATCCTAATACTCTCATGCTAACAACCCAACACTGTCACACCAACAACCCAACACTGTCACACCAACAACTAAACACTGTCACACCAACAACAACAACCCAACACTGTCACACCAACAACTAAACACTGTCACACCAACAACAACAACCCAACACCGTCACACCAACAACTAAACACTGTCACACCAACAACAACAACCCAACACCGTCACACCAACAACTAAACGCTGTCACACCAACAACAACAACCCAACACTGTCACACCAACAACTAAACGCTGTCACACCAACAACCCAACACTGTCACACCAACAACAACAACCCAACACTGTCACACCAACAACTAAACGCTGTCACACCAACAACAACCCAACACTGTCACACCAATAACAACAACCCAACACTGTCACACCAACAACCCAACACTGTCACAGCAACAACAACAACCCAACACTGTCACACCAACAACTAAACGCTGTCACACCAACAACAACCCAACACTGTCACACCAATAACAACAACCCAACACTGTCACACCAACAACCCAACACTGTCACAGCAACAACAACAACCCAACACTGTCACACCGACAACTAAACACTGTCACACCAACAACAACAACCCAACACTGTCACACCAACAACCCAACACTGTCACACCAACAACAACAACCCAACACTGTCACACCAACAACCCAACACTGTCACACCAACAACAACAACCCAACACTGTCACACCAACAACTAAACGCTGTCACACCAACAACAACCCAACACTGTCACACCAATAACAACAACCCAACACTGTCACACCAATAACAACAACCCAACACTGTCACACCAATAACAACAACCCAACACTGTCACACCAACAACAACAACCCAACACTGTCACACCAACAACAACAACCCAACACTGTCACACCGACAACTAAACACTGTCACACCAACAACAACAACCCAACACTGTCACACCAACAACTAAACACTGTCACACCAACAACAACAACCCAACACCGTCACACCAACAACTAAACGCTGTCACACCAACAACAACAACCCAACACTGTCACACCAACAACAACAACCCAACACTGTCACACCAACAACCCAACACTGTCACACCAACAACTAAACGCTGTCACACCAACAACAACCCAACACTGTCACACCAATAACAACAACCCAACACTGTCACACCAATAACAACAACCCAACACTGTCACACCAACAACAACAACCCAACACTGTCACACCAACAACAACAACCCAACACTGTCACACCAACAACAACAACCCAACACTGTCACACCAACAACTAAACGCTGTCACACCAACAACAACAACCCAACACTGTCACACCAACAACTAAACGCTGTCACACCAACAACAACAACCCAACACTGTCACACCAACAACTAAACGCTGTCACACCAACAACCCAACACTGTCACACCAACAACCCAACATTGTCACACCAACAACCCAACATTGTCACACCAACAACCCAACACTGTCACACCAACAACCCAGTACTGTTACATGAACATCCCAACACTGTCACGCCAACAACCCAACACTGTCAGACCAACAACCCAACACTGTCACACCTACAATCCACCACTGTCACACCAACAATTCAACACTGTCACACCAACAGCTCAATGCTGTCACGAACAACCCAATATTGTCACACCAACAACTAAACACTGCCACAAGAGGGTATAAATACAAGAACGTGGCCAAATGAGGTTCAGATTAATTGTTCTTTTACTTCATGGCTGTTTGTGGGTGGGATCTTTCTGTACGCTAATTGTCTGCAGTTTTTGCCATTAAATACACATTCAATACACTCAACAGAAATTAACTGCGACGTTCTATTTGACATTGCAGGGCTATGCTAAAGACAAGTACTGTATAGTATTATCATTATAAAGTTTTTAAATGCCTCATTTGGTCATGTGTTTTTAGAGCAGATAGATGATAGAATTTGTACAAAACATTTAAATAAAATGTTTTAATTGTAAACCAAGACAGTACAACATATAACATATAATAATAATCCCTGCATTTGATAGAGCACTCGCCTTGCAAGCGAGACACCTGGGTTCAATTCCCGGCAGAGCGAAACCTTGGGCAAGTTTCCTTACTCCACACGCCTAATAACAATCCCTCCAAAAACAAAATAATAAATTGGTCTTTTTCAATCCACGACTGTTTGTGGGACACTGCTGTGCGCAATTGGCTGCCGCGTTTCGCCCACAAATATACGGTCAATTCACTTTAGTCTATTCTGTGAAGCGCTTTGAGACGTTGAGAAGACGTGAAAAGCGCTATATCAAATGCAAGGATTATTATTATAAAGTGCCTTATCAAGTTATCTAGTCGTCTCAAAGCTCTTCACAGGATATATTGTAAAGTGGCTGTGTGTGATTGTTCGTATCTTTTGGGTGAATGGTGCAGCCAATTTGTGCACAGCAATGTCTCACAAACACCTAAAAGTAAGTAGTCTTAAAAGTCAGCATGCCATAAAAATAAAAGGATCGTTTCAGCTACCTTTTTAAATTAATTTTCTATCCTAAGTGTACAATTCCACGATTGTTCAGTTAATATATTTTTTTCCTTGTACAACCATCAAAAACAACTTGCATTCATATAGCGCCCTTCGTGCTGGTGTACCTGTAAGAGTAGATGTTGTGAGTGGCGCTCGCAATCTTCTTGTTCTGGTACAATTTACAAAGAACCATTTTCACCTAAGTAATAGAAATCGACAAGTTACTTCCACGGTTTATCCTCCAGAGGGCAAAAACCCTTTTGGGAAGTCTTTTTTTTACTTCTAAAAGCAGAACAGTCAGATGTTGAAAGCACAGTGCTGTATTTTTAACAGCTCTCTCTCACAATAAATAAACCAAAGCTCTTCAGTCATACCAGACACTAATGCTTTACCCCGGCAGCTATTTGAATGAGATACTTCAGTGCTCAAGTTAGCCAAACCCTTTCTATTTTTTATAACGGACAGCTTTTATCAATGCAAACTTTGTTAGAATGTAGAGTGGAACAAAAACAACAGAAAACGTCTGTTAACAGTTTTAGTGCCGTTATAATATCGCGTTGAGTTTTGGTCATCCCACTTCACGAAGGACATCGAGGCCAAAGGAGTGGGGGGGGTGCAGAGGAGATTTTATGGAATGAGACTGGGTTTCAGTAGTTTGGCCTATGAGCAGAGATTGGAAAATATTAAACTTTTTCCCCCGGAACAAAGATAGCAGTTCCTTGCTGGTCCCTCTGCAATTTGTATAATCTTACTGGCATTAAAAAATAGAAAGTAATTCTAAAGACATATTAATGTCAAACCAACAAGAGCAATTCCTTCAATTTTATTTATATTCAGCTAAGAATATAAATATTCAGGTAAATGTTTAATTCAGGTAATAACTCTCCCTCCATTGAGTGCATGTTCTTCCTCGTCCTCTCCTAATTTAATTGGGTATCACTCCCTCACTGAAAGGGCAAACTGATGTCTATTCTGGCCACATATAAACAAAGCTATATTATGCAACATGAGCGAGCACACATGCAGAAATGAAATTATTGGTCACATTAACTGTACAATTAACAGGCAATGAAAACGATTGTACAACTAGGCTCGTAACAAATCACTTTCACCGGATGTTAATTATCTAACCAAAAGCACCTATGGTTCCTTGCACAGGTTTACACATAGTGCATAATACATCTGTGTTTGCACATGGTGCATAACACAACTGGTGTGTTTATACATCGGTGCCAGCATGCCTCAGTGGTAGCACTCTCACCTCTCAAGTCAGAAGGTTGTGGCTTCAAGGCCCCACGTGGGAGCTTGGTATCCATATAGTCTATGCTGAAACTCCAATGCAGACGCAATGTCTAAGGTCCGTCCTTTGGATGAGATGATGAGGTCCTCCTATCTGCATGCCCAGGTAGATGTTAAAGACACCGTGGCACTATTTAAAAAGTTTCCCCCGGTGTAATGGCTAATACGGTGTTCAAATTGACTGACGTATTTGGCCACAAAATATAGTCACACCAATTTACAGTATATCCCGTGAAGCTCTTTGAGACGACTTAGCAACTTGATAAGACGCCATATCAAATGCAAGGATCATCATTATAACACAGCTGTGTTTACATATAGTGCATAATAGAACCTATTATGTAATTAACCACCTATCATTTCCATTCATTGTTTGTTAAATATGGAAATAAGGACATCCAAAATTACCTCCACTAAGTGTTTACAGACGGCAATTAATGGATATGCATTTACACATGGTTTACACATAGCACATAATAGCAGATAATCCACTCCTCCATCTGAAGATTGTCCAAAGTCTTACACTCCTTAGGACCCTGTACTGAACACAGGCTGAACCAAAATACGTCTTTTGCCCCCTGTACTACTTTCCAGTCATATTTCACAATTCTAATCTTATTCATGATCTTGCCGACTTTCAGAATCAATTATAAAATATCATTCATGTAAGTACGTCAGAGGTTAATCATCTGAATACTGTTCAGATAGCGCTTTATTTGGGTAATCTGTTGAACTGGTCCATGATGAGTGAGTGAAGCCGCAAAAAGAGATAAGCGCTGTGTACTTTTTTTGTATACAGATTTTGAAAAATCTCCATTTAATAGACGCCAAATCCCCCGAATATTTATTGAAACTCTTCCCACTTTCTGCAATCACTGAGATGAACACAGTGCATAGTGATGTTTTCCTCACCATTATCTCTAATTTTCTGCAGCACTTTTATTACAACTTCATAAATGACACAAAGGGGTTTATTGTTTTCCTTCCCCCTCCCCAATTTTAAACGGACACAAAACATGCATGAAGAGTCACACCAGCTTCAATCAGCCCTTGTTTTCCTTCGATTTCGAAGGTCTAATTTGATCTCTTAAATTCATTATAAATTAATTCGAGAGAACGCACGTGACAAGTTAATGCAGTGCGGCCTTACGTGGGTTGCAGTTGGTAATGAGAAATTATAATCTCTTTTCAAATCAAGTTTCTTAAAGACCTCGTAAAATCTCGATCAAATTCTCTTCAGAAATGTTTATAAACAAAGGTTTTTTCCCCCCTTCTCCTAATGAAACACGTCCCCTTCCTATTCATTCATTACTTATAAACAATTCGTACACCCTGCCCATGCTGACAATTAAATGCCTTTCGAGGAGACCACAAAACGGATACATAAGTTCAACAAAATACACAGGAAATTCCTATATTTCTTAATAATAATCCTTGCATTTGGTAATGAATATATAAATAATCCTCATAATTCATATATAATGCCTTTCAAGTGAGGACATCTCAAAGTATTTCATAGGACTTTACTGTAGTGATTGTGCATTTGCAGAGAACGCGGCAGCCAATTCTGCACACAGCATGTGTCCCACAAACAGCCATGAAGTGAACAAATGACCAATTTTACATGGAGGATTGTTCACCAGGACACCGGGAAAAACCCCATTCGTTTTTTAATGTCCTCACCCCAAAAGGAAATCAAGGATAGCCTTGTTTGAGGACAACGTTTTAAGAAATTTTTTGATTTTATCCTTCCTGATGTCTGAAATTCCTTTACAGCAGTTACTGTTGAGGATGGGGACATGTTGTGATTGCTTTTGTGAGCAATACAGCAACTATACTGTTCGCAGCTCACTCCCTTCCCTTTTTCAAAAGAGGTGTGGATATGGATGGTCCCAGGATAGAGGATATAGGTTTGTATGAAGAATAGAGGCTTGAATGGGTGCTGGGATAAGGCAGGATTGAATGGATGCCTTGCTGTAAATTTCTATGATTTGATGTTTCCATGCCAACACCTGTCTTTGTGGGTCCTGTGGGCAAGCAGGCAGGGCGAAATGTTGAGCAAGTTTCCACATGCCTCTGTTTACCAAGCAGGAAATAGGATCCCGGTTGTTAGTCAACTGGCGGATCGCTTTTCCGGGGTAATAATTCCTTCCAAAAAAGTAATAAATTGGACACTTCAATCCACTACTGTGAGACACTGCTGTGTGCAATTGGCTGCTGTGTTTTGCTCACAAAATATAGTTAATTCACTTTACAGTATATTATGTGAAGAGCTTTGAGACGTCCCGAAGACGTGATCAGGCGCTAAATCAAATGCAAGTATTATTATTATTAGATATCTGAATGACTCCAGGTTGTTTTTTGCTCAGTAGGTGTTTAATACGTGCAAAAACCTTTCACCGTGCTTAAAGGTTAACCAAAATAGACTGAGAATTCCACATATGTGTGCCACACACATGGAAATTTCTGTAATTTTGTATTTGCCGAAGGAGCAGATTCCTTGCTGTGGTTTATTCTTTTTACATTCATTAAATGTTCCTCGATTTCAGATCACTTGATGTCTGACTATTGAAGGTGGCAGAGGTCTTTTTCTCCCCCTCCTGCCCCCCGACTCAGGTTCCCAGCCTTCCTCATGACATGAAAGACACAATATAAATACAAATTGGATTGCATTTATTGGTTGATCATTCAGACCAGACACTAAACCGATGTCTTGTCTGCCTATTCAGGTGGACGTTAAAGATCCCATGGTACTATTCGTAAAGAAAACAGAGCTTCTCACGGTGTTCTGGCCAACAATCCACCCAGAAAACTTGTCTTTTGACATCATGATTGTCAATGGGAGTTTGTTGATGCAAACAGAATACAAAAACAAGAACTTTCATGAATACAGCACCCTTCACCCAGGATGTACTCACTAACGCTGACAGCAATTACTTGCAAAGTGCTTAGAGGTGTTTCAGTGTGATAAGCCACTATAAAACTGCAAGTCGTTTTCTTTCTAATTGTTGCAGCAATTCTATCCCATCAAATAAACAAACAATTGAATTCTGTCTGTTCCCCAGAGTCTTCTACAAATGAAGGTTCATTGAGTGTGGTGCGCAGGTTTCCCTGAACGCATTCTGTAAGTGTTGCACATGCTTTGCAAGCCATTACCTTCCAAGAAAATATATTTCTCATAAAATTAACATGTCCCTCAAAGGCTAATAGTCTGATCTAGGGCACTTCAGATCTTTTGGTCCAGCTTTAATCCGCACCAAGTGGATTTTAATGCCTGTTATTTAAAGGAAAGGGGAGGGGGAAGAGAAATAATGATTACATTGATATACAAGTAAACGCTGGATAACTCGACCGTCTTAATTTGCCACGAACACTTAAATCGTACAGTCATTGTCCCATGCAAACTATCAATAAGGGATATTGCTCTACTTGTCCCTCCTAACACATAACTCATCATATTGTAGAAATTCTATTAAGTACTTACAATGTAAAATTGCTCAGAAAACGCATCCTATAAGATGTTGTCTTGCATCGCGGAGGTCTCCCCCACCCCGCCTTCTGTGACTGGTGTGAGGTTGAAGTTGTCTCAATGCGCTCCACAGAATATATGGTAACGTGGATGGATTGGGTATTTTGCAGGAAAAATTATGTATTTGTAATTTATATACAATGTCTCAGAAACAGCCACGACATGAGTGACCGGTTGTATTTTTGTTGATCTGGACACCGAGAGAAACTCCTGGGAAGCGAATGGAATATTTTATTACTAGGTGATGGTATTGTGCCTCAACAGGTAAGAGTCTTCCTTGAGGAGCGTAATTGACGCTGAACTGGTAGCTTTGATCAGATCAGTAAGATGAATTTTTGGCCCACAAAATACAGTCACTACATTTTACAATATATCCCGTGAAGTTCTTTAAGATGTGTCGACCACGTGATAAGGCTTTGTATCAAATGCAAGGATTAGTATTTTCTTAAATATTTGCGAAAGCTGTAAACAAATCTAAATAACAAGCAAGTAAGCCAGTTATAGGGCCCTTCAACACAATGCTACTTCATTTATCGTGTGGGTCCCCTGTGATCCTGTACTAAACTAAAAAGAAAGCCCAACTTCTGAGTTCCCAACTCTTCCCTCCACAAGCTGCAGATCATCCAGAACTCTGCAGCTCATGTCCTCTCCTGCACCAGGCTCCGTGACCCCATCACCCCCACCCTCGCCCGGATCCACTGGTTCCCCATCCCCCAGAGGAGAGCTAAAAATCCTCGTCCTCGCCTTCAAGGCCCTCCACTACCTTGCCCCTCCCTACTTCTGCGACCTGATGACCCCATATCAACTGTCCGATCCTTCCGCTCAGCAGGCTCTGGCCTGCTCTACTATCGGCGGTCGGGCCTTCAACCTTTCTGCCCCCATCCTATGGAACTCCATCCCTTCGCCTCGCTCCCTCTCTTGCCTCCTTCAAGGTGCGTTTCAAACCCTACTATTTGACCAAGCCTTCGACCACTCTCCTACCCTCCACTCTCCTCGATCCCAACCCCCAGCTCGGGTCCAAATCCCTGACTGTCCAGCGTCTTGGGACGGCCTCCCAACTTGAAAAGTGCTATACAAATGTAATTTGTATTGTATTGTCAGGGTGCCATTGAAAGCATGTGCACTGCTGACATTACTTGACAGAGGAAATGACAACAGAGACAGCATCCCGAGCATAAACGACCAGGAAGTGATATCGGCCGTGACCGGATAACTTTGCAATTTTCCCTCACCTCGCCAGTTAGTTGGTGAGACACTGGACCCAGCCAATCGCATTATAATAAGACTTTCCTGTACATTATAAAAGCTTATGCTGGAATATTCCTCTAATGGCTCTGTGGAAACCTTTCCAATCATCACAAGGAATGCATTGCATCGCATCTCTGGCAGCTGTTTGATTTTTATGGGCACGGTTTTCCCCAGTGACTTTCCTGTAGTGCTGGAGCTATAACTCAACTACATCTAAGAGGCTCGAGACCCCACTGCTAAATTCATAGCCGTTCATAAAAGTCACTGTTAAATACAATACAATTTACATTTTTATAGCACCTTTCGCATTCGAGGGAATTCTTAAAGTGCTCAAACAATACTGGCTGGGCATTCAAGCTCTCTTTGTCCTTTGTTCTCTAAATTCTGCTTTTCAGGAAAAAAGATGCTTCACATTTACAAGAGCACCGACCTGTCCAGTCGTCACTACAGGAGCCAGATGGGCCTGGAAGGTACTTCTGCGATCAGTTATTGGTTCTCCATGGACAATAGATGGAAGTTGTTCACCTGCAAAGTTAAGCATTTATTTTTTCCTGTTACAGGAGGCACCTGCTAATTGCAGAAATCCAACAGTTTCACTGATAATAATAGTTTCACTCTCTAACAATAGCAATGAATATATTAGAATATATTAGAATAGACAACACAGAAATAGGCCATTCTGCCCAACTGGTTTATGCTGGTGTTTATGCTCCACATGAACCTCCTTCTGCACTTCCTCAACTAAGCCTTCAAGCATAACCTTCTAATGACCTTATAATGACAGAAATGACCTTCATTCAAATGCTTAAACTAGGAACAAGCACCGTTCACTCACTGCAGCTGCTGCTATTTTGCTGAAACATCAGGAGGAATGGGGTTCCTTCATCTTAAAAGAGCGAACGCAGAGAGAGAGAGACACACACACACGACCCCATATTACTGAAGTACAGAAGTCCATCTCCTGATTTCACACCCACAACACAATAGTCCTCTCTCACCCACCCACCCCTGTCCCATCACCATAGTTTCATCGTAAGGCGCTTTGGATGGCCAACAACCCAACACCAGTAAGGTTATATAGCAAGTGGTCCTACAACACCTGGACAGTAAAGCATCGCTTCAGAGCTCCATGACTTGTATCTCATTCAGACTCTCACAAGAGGAAACAATATTCATAGATTACCGTCTGAGCTTTCAGGTAAAGCAATTTTGGTTGCATTTTGCTGAGCAAGAGATGCAATGACATATTCGTCCTCATAATCCACTTCCAACTCTTCTGTTGTCTTTTTCATTTCTGGAACTGTCACACGTGAAACACAAATAAAACAAATAATCCTTGCATTTGATATAGCACCGTTTACATCGGGAGGATGTCTCAAAGCGCTTCACAGGATATACTGTAAAGTGCAGTGACTATATTTTGAAGGCAAATGCAGCAGCTAATTTGTACACAGCAACATCCCATAAAAAACAACAAATTACACTTTTATAGCACCCTTCACATCGGAAAGATGCCCCGGGGCGCTGGACAGTCAGGGTTTTAGGACCTGAGATGGCAGCTAGGTTTAGGAGGGGTGGAGGGCAGCCGAAGGTTTAGTCGAAGAGGAAGGTCTTTAGACAGGACTTGAAGGAGGCAAGAGAGGGGGTGAGATGAAGGGATTGTGAGATGGAGTTCCAGAGAGATGCTGAATACCCAACAGCCAATGGTGGTGAGGTAAGTGCGGGGGACCTGAAGCAGGCTGGTGCCCACCGAGTGGAGGGAGCGGACAGGCTGATATGGGATTAGGAGATCGGAGAAGTATGGGGGGGCCCTTGAAGGTGAGAATAAGGATTTTGTACTCGTTTCTCTGAGGGATGAGGAGGTTCTCGGAGCCTGGTGCGGTAGAGGACATAAGCTCCAGAGTTCTGAATAATCTGCAGCTGGTGGAGGGAACAGTTGGGAAGTCCGCTGAGCAGGTAGTTGGCATAGTCAACAACAACAACAACTTGGATTTATATAGCGCCCTCCACGCCGGACGGCGTCTCCGAGCGCTTTACAGTAACGGATCCCGGGACCGAGCCAGGGGGAGGAGGATTAGGTGACCAAAGGCGCGGTTGAAGCCGGGACGTGATGAAAGCGTGGATCAGGGTCTCAGTGGCCTGCGGTGAGAAGCAGTGGCGGAGGCGGGCAATGTTATGGAGGTGGGGAAAGGCGGAACGGGTCATGATGACCGATTTTATTTGGGGGGATTGTTGGCCAGGATACCGGGGCAATCTACCTACTCTTTACAAATACTGCAACGGGATTTTGAACATCCACCTGGACAGGTAGATGGGGCCTTAGTTTAGTGTCTCATCTGAAGAATGGTACCCCCGTCAGCCTGAGTTCAAAGTCTCAAAGTGGCACTTAAACCCACAACACTGCAGACAATGAGGCAAAGTTTCCTGAAAACCAAGCTGTGCTGCGTTGTTCCCTGGTTATGCTGTTGCCAGCAAATATATGGCCCAGTTCGCTGCAGTAATTGTACAAACAGAACAGAAATGTTACCTGGGTCAGATGTTTGTGATTTCACCACCAGAACATCCTTAATCTTCTCCACCCAAAGGAACAGAATACTTTCTCCCAAATTTTGTCTGAAACAGAATGGACTCATCTAAACATACAGCTGTCTGTCAATTTAATTGAACACGTTTTATTAAGTCTACACAGACAGTCGAACAAATTGATTTTCAAGATAATGCACAGTACAATTGGCATAACCTAAACCTAAAAATACTCATCAATTTTTTTCCATTCCCCTCCTGAAGGTGTTAAACCCTTTTCCCTCCCTGGAAAGTTCTTTGTTAAGTTGCTCAAGTCACCATTATTCAGGCACAAGTCTTTGGTGATGATTGTTAACAGGCTTATTGAACCATGGGGGAGGGAGAAAGTATCACCGTCGAGGTCAGTCCTGTTTTCAGGCATTCATTTTAGCATCGCTTGTCACTGGACAGCGAAGCAGGAGCAGGAACCCTGGTTGATTTTTCTCTGACTAACAAGGTAAGCCCCGAGGCCAATTGCTATATACCTATTATAGTCCCGACTGAGATCACTCAGCTCAGCGTAGGTCAAGGGCATACCTGCGACCTTCTTGGTCTGTGTACCTCGGCTAACACTGAATAAACTCAGTGAAACCTCGGGGAGCGGGTTGGGGACTGGGGGGAAAAGAGAGATTTTAGAATTCTTAAAAGCTAACACAGTGGAACTGCTTTTTATACAATTCCCAGCCCTCGCTATCTTCTGTTTCCCTGCATTTTTAAAAAACTTTTCACTTTAGCCTTTCAGTTGGGTTTGACCTCTGTTTTCAGTCACTCCAGTTCTGGTCTCGAAGCTTTGCTCATTTCCCTCCTAGGAATGGATCTCCTTTCCCTCTGCCTTGAGCTGGTCTGAAAGAATTCCATTCTTCCTCGGTTTCACTTTTCTCATTTTGCCTTCCTGCTTAACCCTAAAACCCAAACTGTTTTTATAGCTCTAGAGTTTACATCAGATTTTTGTTTTTGGAGGGTAATAATCCCTCCAGAAAAAAAAATTTGGTCAGTCCAATCTACGACTGTTTGTGGGACACCACTGTGCACAATTGACTGACGAGTTTTGCCCACAAAATACAGTCAATCCACTTTACAATATATTCTGCGAAGCTCTTTGAGATATCTCAAAGACATGATATGGCACTATATCAAATGCAAGGATTATTATTATTTGTGAAATTCTGTGCCGCTGCATTTATTATGTTTAGTTTTAGCCAATGTTCTCCTCCACCTTCCTGTGTAATTCTTAAGAGTAGAGAAACGATCAACTTTGAAAATGTCTCTTTTTCCACTCAACTTCGGATCATTATAATAATCGTTAAATTTGGTACAGCACCTTTTCACGTCAGGAGGACGTCTGAATACGCTTCACAGAATATACACCTCAAAGTACAGTGACTGTGTTTTGTGGACAATCTATGCACAGCAATCCCAGAAACAGCCATGAAGTTTATGACCACTTTCATTATTGGTCAGTACACTGGGAGAGAGAAACTCCCTCCTTTTTTTCCAGTGCTATGGAATAGTTAACGGCCACCTGAAGAGGCAGGCAAGATCTTGGTTTCATCTGAAGGACGGATGACACCATCTCTGACAATGCAGCACCCAACACACCCCACACCTCCCCCCCCGCATTGGACTGTCATCCTAGAGTACATGTAACCTTCTGACTCAGACGCGAGAGTGTTATCAATTGAGTAGGCTGACACATTACGAGTGTAAGAAAGAATAACTTTTAACTAGATACATGAGCCCTTTCATACTCCTTGGGAAGGGGGGTGGAGGGATGGAAGATGGGGTAAGCGGAGTCTCCCTGGAGTTAAATTAGCTCAGAGATAACATGTTTAAGTCAAAATCGCGTCAACCCTCAGTAGCCTGGTTCCTGAGCCAGGTCAGTCAGTAGTACGCCAGGGCACTGCTGTTGACAAGGCCAGCTAGCCTGGCTCATGAGCAGGGTTTGAACAACAAGATTACATTTGTATAGCGCCTTTCATATCGGGAGGACGTCCCAAGGCGCTGGACAAAGTACAGCATTTCAGACCTGAGCTGGGGTCAGGGGGGGAAAAGGGAGTGGAGGGGAAGGGGGGTGACCTATGGCATGGTCCAAGAGGAGGGTCTTGAGGCGGGACTTGGAGTGACCGGGGGATGGAATTCCAGAGGTTGGGGGCAGAGTGGCTGAAGGCTCTCCTGCCAATGGTGGGGCGGGTGGGTCGGGGGACGTGGAGCAGGCTGAAGCCGGCTGAGTGGAGGGAACAGGCGGGTTGGTTGGGGGTTAGGAGGTCGCAGAGATAGGGTGGGGCGAGGCCATGGAGGGCTTTGTAGGTGAGGACCAGGATCTTGAAATGGATCCTCTGTAAGATAGAGAGCCAATGGAGTCGGGCGAGAATGGGGGAGATGGGGTCACGGAGTTTGGTGCGGGAGAGGACACAGGCTGCAGAGTTCTGGATTATCTGTAGCCTGTGGAGGGAGGAGGTTGGAAGGCCGACAAGCAGGACGTTTGCATAGTTGAGCCTGGAGGTGATGAAGGCCTGAGCAAGAGTTTCAGTGGCCTGAGAGGTGAGGTAGTGGCGGAGTCGGGCGATGTTACGGAGTTGGGGAAGGCAGAGCGGGTCATGGCTTGAATGTGGGGAAGAGAAGACAGTCGAGGGTCGAACAAGACACCTGGGTTCCTGACTGGCTGGTGAGTTGTAGTGTGCAACCATAGAAGTTGATGCTGCCAGAGCCTGGGGTGCTGAGGCGCTGGCGCGAGCCAATCAGGAGGGTCTCAGTCTTGTTCACATTCAACTGTAGGAAATTTACCCTCACCCAGGACTTAATGTCCGACAGGCAGTCTGTCAGGACAGCAGTGGTGCAGGAGTTGAGGGTGGAGGCAGAAAGATAGAGTTAGGTGTCATCGTGGAGTCCTGTAGCTCAGTGGTTAGAGCACTCGCTTTGCAAGTGAGAGACCTGAGTTCAATTCCAGGCAGGGCGAAACCTTGGGCAAGTTTCCTTACTCCACACAGAGCCTAATAATAATCCCTCCGAAAAACAAAGCAATAATAAATTGGTCATTTTCAATCTACGACTGTTTGTGGGACATTGCTGTGCGCAATTGGCTGCCGCGTTCGCCCACAAATATACAGTCAATTCACTTTACAGTCTATTCTGTGAAGCGCTTTGGGACGTCCTCCCGACGTGAAAAGCGCTATATCAAATGCAAGGATTATTATTATTATTATTATTATTATCCGTATACATGTGGAAGTTGACCCCATGTGTTCGACAGTGTCGAAGGCGGCAGAGAGGTTGAGGAGGACAAGGAGGCAGAGGGAGCCCTGATCACAGATGTTCAGAATGTCATCAGTGACTTTGACCAGGGCTGTTTCTGTGCTATGGGCAGCTTGGAAGCCGGATTGAAGGGGTTCAAAGTGGGAATGGCGAGAAAGAAAGGAGCAAGAAGGGATAAGAAGGGGCAGTGATTCTTCCCACTCAGCTCCTGTTAACCCTGCAATCCAAAACCCTAACAGAATGGAAGTTTCTTGCTGGGCAAGTAGCAGGAAAGCTTTGCAATAGTGATTTCAACAGTTTTAGTTTTTATTTCTGGTTTAGTTTTCTTAAACTCCAGCGGTTAGACCAACGTACAATCTGGAGATCCCCCAGGCCTTGGCTTTTGTCAACCTGCGCCTACTTTCTACTTTCTAGATTTAGGTAAGCAGGGTTTGTCCATCCGAGGAGAGGGTGTGTATTCCATTCCAGACACGGAAAGTTCCACGTGTAGGTGGTGTACATATGTGGAACTCTCAGTCTGTTTTGGACTGTTATTCGTGGTGATGGGTTTCTGCATAACCCCAACCTATATCCTAACTCTGTTGAAATCAAATTCAGCACGTTTTCTGTGATTATTTTCTAGAAATCCTTACATCTTGCAGTCTTCTTTTCCTACCATCTGCAGGCTTTTAACAACCAACCTTGCCATCAAGTAACTTCTTTTGATTTACGTGACATGTCTCCGCCTCTTTTTTTGGGTGGGGCGTGTGGCTGGAGATTCTGACACAGACGGAAACACATCACCATGCTTAATAGAGGGTATTCAAACCAAACTGAGCATGCCACCTACACGTGGAAATTCCCGTGATTGGAATGGAATTCGCACTCTCTCCTCTGAGGGATGTACCACGATCAGCTGCGTAATAAAATGGATTCTCTTCCAACTTGGAGGTGAACTGCATTGTAGGACTCAGCACTTCACCTTTTGAAAGTTAACCTGAATATTTTAATGTTTGCTTCGAAGTGATCAGGTCACTTACAGATAGATTTCCTCCAGGCTGTTGGAAAGCTCTGTGCGTTCCTGTCCTCGAAGCCAAGCAGCACTGAAAACAAATCCAAAAACACTTGGTTTAGGATAAAATGGAATTTACAATTTACAATGATTAGCTTGTGAATAACCAATCACCACCATCCTCCACTGGCTCAGTTCCACTGGTTCGCCATTCCCCCCAGTGTATCGAGTTCCTCGTTCTCAAGTTCAAATCCCTCTGCAGTCTCGCATCCACCCTACCTCTGTGCCCTTCTTCAACCATGTCAACCATGTGGGCTCTCCCTTTGTTCAGCCTTGCTGCATGATTCTCCCCCCCATCCCCACTGCTGCCGTTTCTGCCCCACCATCAGCAGACAGGCTATCAGCCTTTGTGTCCTGCATTCTGATTAATAATGCTAAAGAATAATACTTATATTTGATAAAAGTCCCTTTCATATCGGGAGGGTGCCTCAAAGCGCTTCACAGCATCCACTGTAAAGTGGTATGACTGTGTATTTTGTGGGCGAACGTTAAATCATTTAATACCCAAAGGGCAAGTATTGTGCTTACTTTAACTGATAAACAGGTGGAGCTGCAGTGGGATATTCCGGAGGAAGCATCACCTATTCGGCAAAAAATTCAAATATGGGTTATACGGTTCAGAGCATACAAGCATTAAACGTACATTTGTCTGTCGGATTGTCGGATATCGCATTCCAGATCCTTGTCCTCTCACTCAAGTGCCTCTTCAGCCTTCCTCCACCTAGAATCAAGCCAGCCTCTGTGACGGTTTTGGTAGTCCGGTTCCTGAGCCAGGCAGGTCCGCAGTACTCCAGTGTACTGCTGATGACAGCCTAGCCAGCTTGGCTCATCGTCAGGACTTGGAGCGCGACTGGAGACTGGAATTTTGACTCAGCTCCTGTTATTCCTGCAATCCAAAGCCCTAGCAGATAGGGTAGTCCTAGCTGGATAAGCAGCCAGAAGTTAATGGCAATTTTTGGCAATATTAGACAAGTTTCCTTAGTCCACCCGCCTCTGTTTACCTAGCATTAAGTAGAAACCCGGTTGGTAGTCAATTAGCGGATCGCTTTTCCAGTGGTGATAATCCCTTCAAAAAAATAAATAATAAATAAAATAATTTGGTCACTCAATCCACAACTGTTTGTGGGACACTGCTGTGCGCAATTGGCTGCCATGTTTCGCCCACAAAATATACAGTCAATTCACTTTACAGTATATTCTGTAAAGCTCTTTGAGATATCTCGAAGACATGATAAGGCACTATATCAAATGCAAGGATTACTATTATATAGACACTTTCTTATGAAAGTATGGGTAATAAGGATATGGAGAAAATGTGAAAAATTGGGTTAAGTAGATAAAGAAATACAGGGAACTAATAACAAAAACAACAACTTGCATTTATGCAGTGAACTAATAAAGTGGCAAAGCGGACTGGACGGACTCTTGCCATGTTCCTCTCTCAAGCAAATATTTTCTTTGTTTCTACCAGTACTTTGAAAAGAAAAATCATTCACCAATCAATCTGTGTACCTGTAAGCAAAGAGTCCATTTCGGGTTTTCAGTTTTATCCGCAATCCTAATACAAAATATTCTCGAGGCTTCGTCAATAACACACCATTCATCCTCAAAGATAGACGACAGCGCTTCGATCTCATCAATCTAAGGGGGAGGAGGGGGGGGAGGAGGGGGGCAAAGAAATCAGCATTACAGCCACGTAAAATGCAACTAGTTAACACAATATCACTGTTCAGCTTGCTTCGTGCCCCCTTCTCTATCCATCCCACCATCAGCAGGCAGCCATTCTGCCCCTACCCTTTGGAACTTCATCTCGGAATCCATCCAACTCCCTTCCTCCCATAATTCAAGGCACGTCTCAAAACATAACTCTTTGACCGCTACTTCAGTTATCGTTCCCCTCCCCATCCCTCAACCCCCACCCCGGGTCGAGTGCTCATCCGGCACTGTTAAGCACTTTGACATGTTCCCGATATGAAAGATGCTGTATAAATATAACTTTTACCGTAAATATATTGTATTAACTCATTCTTTCCTGGGACCTGAAAACACTTCATTTATCCTGATTTCTCTCCTAGCCTCTTCAACCCTGATGGTGTCCTTCACCTATGGGCCAAATGGCCTTTCACCTTGGTTTGTCAATTTGCAATAAACACAAAGTGAGTGACCAATTTTATTTGGAAGGACGGTTAGCCAGGACCCCGGGAGAAACTCCATTCTCTTTTTGAATTGTGTCCACTTGAACAGGTAGATGGGACATCATTTTAACATCCCATCCAAAGTACGTACGGCACCTCGAACAATGGTGTGGATGGTACAACGAGAGGGAGCAAACATAACAGGAACGAGCGGATAGCCACATGATTAATTTGACCATATATGGACTGAAAGCCGTGTTGATGAGTGGTGAGTGTCCAAAGGGTACACAAGGTAAGGGATGAGGGGCATAGCAATACCTTATAAGGCAGTGTTAACTTACATCATAATCAATACCAATACGCTAGGTCATTCAACAATCACGGCCCCACTCAATAAAAAGGTACCTGACCGGGGCAAATGTTCATTAACAAATCTCGAATTGGTGTGATTGGACTCATCCGGTTGTCAAAGTCAAAACAACCATGGCCAAATTAAGATATCGTTCCAGGCGCAGTCGCCCCCGCAGACGACGTGGAAGAAAGATGAGGAAAACCAGATATCGGGGAAGGCGAAGAAGGAGGATTACTCGAAGAACCCACCCTTCAACCTACAGAAGGAGGGTACAGGAGACTGTGCTCCCTAAACGCTACTCTAGGTCTCGGGTAGACATGGATACCAATTTGAAAGCAAAGAACACAGACATCTTAATGAATCATTGAAGAAGCATCGAATGTCCCTGTCTGAATGCCACGTTGCTACGTAAGAAAAGTGTATCAGTTGATAATGAATAAAAACAAGTTCTTCAGACTTGGGGCAAAAAAACATATTGTGCTTTGCTTCCTTTTTTAAATAAAAAAGGTCCAAAAATCCGCAATTAGTACAATATAGCAAACCGAGTTAGATGCTTAGTTAACTCTCATAACATAATAATAATCCTTGCATTTGATATAGCGCCTTAGCACGTCTTCGAGGCGTCTCAAAGAGCTTCACAGAATGTATTGTAAAGTGAATTGACTATATTTTGTGGGTGAAACCCGGCAGCCAAATGTGCACAGCAGTGTCTCACAAACGATTGAGTGTTGTATTTTACATTGTAAATACATTAAAAGAATTTCTACAATGCAATGAGTTACGCATTAAATGGAATGACAAGTAAAGCAAAGTTCCTTATTAATATTTTGCATCAGAAGCGGCTGGGATATTGACTGCACGAAGACTTAAGTGATACTGATGAGTTAACTCCAGAGTTGTGTATTTTTTTAATTGATCCCAATATTGTCAATATTTTGACCGAATATAAATTGTTGTTGCAGCAAATGAGAACAGATGAGAATTGGATGGCTGCTGAGACAGCAAATGACAATAATGATGTGGAGTCCTGTAGCTTAGTGGTTAGAGCACTCGTCTCACAAGCGAGAGGACCAGGGTTTGATTCCCAGTCAGGGCGAAACATTGGGTAAGTTTCCTTACACTGCTGTGCTCAATTGGCTGCCGCATTTCGCCTACAAAACAGTCAATTCACTTACAGTATATTCCGGGAAGCGCTTTGGAGACGTCTAGAAGACGTGATAAGGCGCTATATCAAAATGCAAGGATTATTATTATGAGGGTACTTTCTGTTTTTTTAAAATCAGAATAAGTGAGTGCGAACCCTCATGATTGCCTGACCTGAGATCAGACCTCTCCCCTTTCTCTCTCTGTCTCTCTGAATCTCAGTGTGTAACTTACTCACTTGTTTCTGAAGGTTTTCTTCTTCCTCTGTCTCAGCAGCCATCCAACCAACTCTCTCTCAATCAAACTGCACAAGAATTTGCAAGGATAGCAGCAGATTCAGTGAGTGTAGCCCATACATGGGGGTTGTTGGTTGTCAGCAAAGGCTGGAAGCCAACCCTCAGCCCCTCCAAGCCCTCAAACCCTCACTCACTCTCTCAGCCCCTCACTCACTCTCTCAGCCCCTCACTCACTCTCTCAGCCCCTCACTCACTCTCTCAGCCCCTCACTCACTCTCTCAGCCCCTCACTCACTCTCTCAGCCCCTCACTCACTCTCTCAGCCCCTCACTCACTCTCTCAGCCCCTCACTCACTCTCTCAGCCCCTCACTCACTCTCTCAGCCCCTCGCTCACTCCCTCAGCCCCTCACTCACTCTCTCTCACTCTCTCAGCCCCTCACTCACTCTCTCAGCCTCTCACTCTCCCAGCCCCTCGCTCACTCTCTCAGCCCCTCTCTCACTCTCTCAGCCCCTCACTCACTCTCAGTCCCTCACTCACTCTCTCAGCCCCTCACTCACTCTCTCAGTCCCTCACTCACTCTCTCAGTCCCTCACTCACTCAGTCCCTCACTCTCTCAGCCCTCACTCTCTCTCACCCCCTCTCACTCTTAGCCCCTCACTCACTTTCACAGCCTCTCACCCACTCTCTCAGTCCCTCACTCTCTCAGTCCCTCACTCTCTCAGTCCCTCACTCTCTCTCACTCTCTCAGTCCCTCACTCACTCACTATCTCAGCCCCTGACTCACTCACTCTCTCAGCCCCTGACTCACTCACTTTCTCAGCCCCTGACTCACTCACTCTCTCAGCTCCTGACTCACTCACTCCCTCAGCCCTTGACTCACTCACTCCCTCAGCCCCTCACTCACTCACTCCCTCAGCCCCTCATTCACTTTCACTTTCTTAGCCTCTCACTCACTCTCTCAGTCCCTCACTCTATCTCACTCTCTCAGCCACGCTCTCACTCTCCCAGCCCCTCACTCTCTCTCTCTCTCAGCCCCCCTCTCTCTCTCTCTCAGCCCCCCTCACTCACTCTCTCAGCCCCTCACTCCCTCAGCCCCTCACTCACTCACTCAGCCCCTCACTCACTCACTCAGCCCCTCACTCACTCACTCCCTCAGCCCCTCACTCACTCACTCCCTCAGCCCCTCACTCACTCACTCCCTCAGCCCCTCACTCTCTCGCTCAGCCCCTCTCTCTCTCTCTCTCAGCCCCCCTCTCTCTCTCTCTCAGCCCCTCACTCACTCTCTCAGCCCCTCACTCACTCACTCCCTCAGCCCCTCACTCACTCACTCAGCCCCTCACTCACTCACTCACTCACTCCCTCAGCCCCTCACTCACTCCCTCAGCCCCTCACTCACTCACTCCCTCAGCCCTCACTCACTCACTCCCTCAGCCCCTCACTCACTCACTCCCTCAGCCCCTCACTCACTCACTCCCTCAGCCCCTCACTCACTCACTCCCTCAGCCCCTCACTCACTCCCTCAGCCCCTCACTCACTCCCTCAGCCCCTCACTCTCTCAGCCCCTCACTCACTCAGTCCCTCAGCCCCTCACTCCCTCAGCCCCTCAGCCCCTCACTCACTCACTCCCTCAGCCCCTCACTCACTCACTCCCTCAGCCCCTCACTCCCTCAGCCCCACTCACTCCCTCAGCCCCTCACTCACTCCCTCAGCCCCTCACTCTCTCAGCCCTCACTCACTCACTCTCTCAGCCCCTCACTCACTCACTCTCTCAGCCCCTCACTCACTCACTCTCTCAGCCCCTCACTCACTCACTCTCTCAGCCCCTCACTCACTCCCTCAGCCCCTCACTCACTCTCAGCCCCTCACTCACTCACTCTCTCAGCCCCTCACTCACTCCCTCAGCCCCTCACTCACTCTCAGCCCCTCACTCACTCTCTCAGCCCCTCCCTCACTCCCTCAGCCCCTCACTCACTCTCTCAGCCCCTCACTCACTCCCTCAGCCCCTCACTCACTCTCTCAGCCCCTCACTCACTCTCAGCCCCTCATTCACTCCCTCAGCCCCTCACTCACTCACTCTCTCAGCCCCTCACTCACTCTCTCAGCCCCTCACTCACTCTCTCAGCCTCTCACTCACTCCCTCAGCCCCTCACTCCCTCAGCCCCTCACTCACTCTCAGCCCCTCACTCACTCCCTCAGCCCCTCACTCACTCACTCTGTCACTCACTCTCTCTCTCTCACTCACTCACACTCACTCATTCTCAGCCTCACCGTTGGCCTCAGTGACAGGCAGACACTGCGCAGGCGCGGGGCCGGCGCTCACATGGCAGAGAGCCTCTATCCGTGACGTCAGCGGTCACGACCTCAACTGCTTCAGCACGAGATCCTCCCCCCACAGCCCCTCCCCCAGCCCCTCCCCCCCACAGCCCCTCCCCAGCCCCTCCCCCCACAGCCCCTCCCACACAGCCCTCCCCCCACAGCCCCTCCCCAGCCCTCCCCCCACAGCCCCTCCCCCCACAGCCCCACCCCACAGCCCTCCCCCACAGCCCCACCCCACAGCCCCTCCCCCTACAGCCCTCCCCCCACAGCCCCTCCCCCTACAGCCCCCCCCACAGCCCCACCCCCACAGCCCCTCCCCCTACAGCCCTCCCCACACAGCCCCTCCCCCACAGCCCCCCCACACAGCCCCCCCACACAGCCCTCCCCCACAGCCCCTCCCCCCACAGCCCCACCCCCACAGCCCCTCCCCCTACAGCCCTCCCCCCACAGCCCCTCCCCCTACAGCCCCCCCACACAGCCCCTCCCCACAGCCCCTTCCCCCCACAGCCCCTCCCACAGTCGCTCCCCCCTCACAGCCCCTCCCTCACAGCCCCTCCCCCACAGCCACACCCCCCACACAGCCCCTCCCCCCACAACCCCTCCCCCACAGCCCTTCCCACAGCCTCTCCCCCCCACACAGCCCCTTCCCTCACAGCCACTCCCCCACGGCCCTTCCCCCACGTCCCTCCCCCACAGCCCCTCCCCCCACAGCCCCTCCCACACCCCAACACACACAGCCCGTCCCCCCATAGCCCCTCCCCCATAGCCCCTCCCCACAGCGCCTCCCCCACAGCCCCTCCCCCACAGCCCCCCACACAGCCCCTGCCCCACAGCCCCTCCCACAGCTCCTCCCCCCACAACCCCACCCACAGCCCCTCCCCCACACAGCCCTCCCCCCACAGCCCCTCCACCCACACAGCCCCTCCCACAGTCGCTCCCCCCACAGCCCCTCCCCTCACAGCCCCTCCCACTGCCCCTCCCCTCAAAGCCCCCCACAGCCCCTCCCCTCACAGCCCTCCCACACACAGCCCCTCCCACAGCCTCTCCCCCCACACAGCCCCTCCCACAGCCCCTCCCCTCACAGCCCCTCCCCCCACACACTGACACTCACACAGATACACACACACAGAGAGATACACACACAGAGAGATACACACACAGATACACACAGACACAGATACACACACACACAGACACAGATACACACACTGAGAGATACAAACGCAGACACACACACAGACACAGATACACATAGACACACACACAGGACAAGGTCCCCCTGGAGACAAGACAGTCAGTTAGTCAGCCACTGACACACACACACACACAGAGATACCCACATACACATAGAGATACACACACACATACAGAGGTATACACATTCACAACAAGATTACATTTGTCCCAAGGCACTGGACAGCGTACAACATTTCAGACCCGAGCTGGGGTCAGGGGGGGAGAGGGGAGGGGAGGGAAAGGGAGGTGGCTGATGGCATGGTTGAAGAGGAGGGTCTTGAGGCGAATGAGGAGGAGGCGAAGTGACTGGGGGATGGAATTTCAGTGGTTGGGGACAGATTGGTTGAAGGCTCTCCGGCCAATGGTGGGGTGGGTTGGTCGGGGACATGGAGCGGGGTGGACCCGGCTCAGCAGAGGGAACGGGCGGGTTGGTAGGGGGTTAGGAGGTCACAGAGATAGGGTGGGGAGAGGCCATGGAGGGCTTTGTAGGTGAGGACCAGGATCTTGAAATGGATCCTCTGAAGGACAGGGAGCCAATGGAGTCGGGCGAGAGTGGGGGAGATGGGGTCACGGAGTTTGGTGCGGGAGAGGACACGGGCTGCAGAGTTTGCAACCGGAGTTCAATTCCAGGCAGAGGGCGAAACCGTGGGCAAGTTTCCTTACTCCACACACCTAATAATAATCCCTCCAAAACCAAAAACAATAATAAATTGGTCATTTTCATTCCACGACTGTTTGTGGGACATTGCTGTGCGCAATTGGCTGCCGCGTTCGCCCACAAATATACAGTCAATTCACTTTACAGTGTGTTCTGTGAAGCGCTTTGGGATGTCCTCCCGACGTGAAAAGTGCTATATCAAATGCAAGGATTATTACTGTTATTTATTCTGGATTATCTGCAGCCTGTGGAGGGAGGAGTTGGGAAGGCTGACAAGCAGCGCGTTTGCATAGTCGAGTCTGGAGGTGATGAAGGCACGAACAAGAGTTTTAGGGGCCTGAGGGGTGGGGTAGTGGCGGAGTCGGGTGATGTTCCGGAGGTGAGGGAAGGCAGAGCGGGTCATGGCTTGCATGTGAGGGTCGAACATACATTCTCACTCACACACAGATATATATATATAGATACATTCTCACACACGGAGATACATACTCACTCACACCCAGAGAGAGATACACACACAGGTATACAACATATAAACATATATACATATATATATACACACACATATATACATATCCACACACACACACAGATATACACCCAGATATACATATACACACCCACACAGATATACATATACACACCCACAGATATATATGTATATATATCTACATATACACAGCTCATTTATAATGTTTTCATTGTTAAAGATCCATAAATGCACTTCAATTTAACTATCTATCTAACCTTCAATTTGCCTGCCTACATATTTAAACTTCAATTTAACTGTATCTATGTAACCTTCAATTTAACAATCTATCCGTATGTTTCGCCAACAAAACATACAGGCAATTCACCTTACATTATATTCTGTGAAGTATGTTGAGAAGTCTTAAGGCGCCTCATGCACTATATCAAATGCAAGGATTATTATGATGTATTTAACCTTCAATTTAACAATCTATCCATGTATTTCGCCAAAGATACAGGTAATTCTCCTTACAGTATACTCTGAGAAGTACTTTGAGACATCTTGAAGACGTGGTAAAGAGCTATATCAAATACAATGATTATTATGTATTTAAAGTCCAATTTACAGTCTATCTGTTTATTTAACCTCGATAAAAAGTGCCTCAGTTCTAATGTTTATTTTTTTAAAACCTCATAAATGCTTCTCAAGTTTTATTTGTATCTGTACAGTACTTAAAACTTAATAAAAATGTGCCTTGATTCTTGAACTTGGGGTTTTAAACGTACTTCAATTCTTACATTTATCTATGTCAATGTATCATATATTGACGTCAAGAAGACGTGAAAAGCGCTATATCAAACGCAAGGATTATTATTATATAAACCTGAATTCTCACAAGACATTCTGCACTGTAAAGTGTCAGCCTGGTTCAGTTGGTAGCGCTCTTGCCTCTGAGTCAGAAAGTTGTGGGTTCTTAGCCTCACGCAGGCACTTTCAATATATATAGTGTAGTGCAGGGATGGGGCTGCTGCAAGTCGGAGGTACTGTCATTTGGATGAGACGTTAAATCGAGGTACATCTGCCTGTTCAGACGGTCATGAAAAATCTCTCGGCACTAGTCGAAAAGAGAAGGGAGCTTCTCCTTGTGTTCTGCTCACGTAATAGAGACTGACACACAGCCCTCCAAATAAAATAGGTCATTCCCTTTATGAATGTTTCTGAGATGTTGCTGTGTGCATATCGGTGGCCTTGTTTGCCTACAAAATACAGTCATTCCATTTTACAGGACTGTGTATATCCTGCGAAGTGCTTTGAGGTGACCCCTCAACATGGAAGGTGCTGCTTTAAATGTAAGAATTGACCTATTACCATTACTAATTATGTTGAATAAAACAACGGAATTTCCTTTAATTACAACTGAACCCAACGTAACCCACCAGGGAGGCAGCAATCATCACTTTATCAGTCTGAGTAAACACCACAGACGAAATGCTCTCTTGTTCATTTCAACCAGAAGTTTCCCTGCAAACACCCAAACCCTGACGGGTAGGGTGGTCCCAGCTGGACAAGCCCCAATTCCTGCTTGGAGCGCCCCCGCCCCCCACCCCCAATCCTGGTAGGAATCCCGCAGCTCAGAGGTTGGGGCACTCGCCTCACAAGCGAGAGGACCTGGGTTCGATCCCCGGCGGGACGAGACGAGACGTTGGGCAAGTCTCCTTACTCCACACACGCCTCAGTAAGTTTGTTAATTGTCGGTCGTGAGTCGACTGGCGGATCGCTCTTCCGGGCGTACATGTCCCTTCAGAAAAAATAACAGTCATGACGACGACAATAATAATCGTAATTGGCTCACTCCGTCCACCAGTGTGCGGGGACCCCGCGGCGCGCGATCGGCTGCCGCGTTCCACCCACGAAATACACGGTCGCTACGCTTTACAGTACATACGGTCACTACGCCTTGCGCCGTGGCCAAGATGTGATCAGGTGCCATATTACATACAAGTATTATTATTATTATTATTATTATTATTATTATCCCTCTTGTGTGTGTGTCTCTCTCTCTCTCCCTTTCCCCTCTTCTCCCCATCCCCTCCCCTCCCTCCCTCCCTCCCCACATCCCCCACAACTCTGACGGCGTGAGGCAGTGTTGCTCTGCACCGCTTGACTTGCTGTTGGAGGTGAGTGACTGGGAGACCGGGGCTCCGCGCGCGGCCTGAGCTCAGGAGGGGGGGGGGCACAGCGGCCGGCGCAAGGTTCCATTCGTGGAACGCCGGCGGCCCGGGGAGAGCAGAGCAGAGCAGCGCGAGAGGCGGCGCAGGGTTCCATTCGTGGAACGCCGGCGGCCCGGGGAGAGGGGAGAGCGGAGCAGCGCGAGAGGCGGCGCAGGGTTCCATTCGTGGAACGCCGGCGGCCCTGGGGAGAGCAGAGCGGAGCGGCGCGAGAGGCGGCGCAGGGTTCCATTCGTGGAACGCCGGCGGCCCTGGAGAGGGGAGAGCGGAGCGGCGCGAGAGGCGGCGCAGGGTTCCATTCGTGGAACGCCGGCGGCCCGGGGAGAGGGGAGAGGGCAGAGCAGAGCGGCGCGAGACAGTGCCACAGTCCAGTCCCCCCCTCTCTCTCTGGTGGTACTGTGTGTGGAAAGGACACTCAACCTCTCGCTCTCTCTCTCTCTCTCTCCTCTACTCACTTCACTTCCCTCACTCCGTCCCTTAACGCTCCAGTAAGTGGCGGCGCCTTTGCTGTTTCTGTTTCCATCGCCCTTTTCCTTTTGCTGCAACGGTTTGTTTCGGTTGGCGCTGTTATTGGGGCTGTGAGAGGGGCAATGCGACATCTGTGTGACCCTTTTTTTTATTGCACGAGGTCCCTCCTGTACGCACACAGCAACGCTGGTGAACCCCCACACCGAAGGCTGTCTCTCTCCCTCTCCCTCTCTCTCTCCCTCTCTTTATTTTTCACCCATTTTTTGCATTATTTCTGCCTCTTTGGTGTTTGCTGAGTAAAAAGGCTCATTGAATCGTTTTTGTTCGCCGCGCTGAGACGCAAGCGCTTCGCCCGCAAAATGTACGGTCGATTCACTTCACAGTGTCTCCCGTGAAGTGCTTTGCGGTGTCTGGAAGACGCGATAAGGCGCTGCATCAAATGCGAGGATTATTATTATTATTATTATCATCGTCGTCGTCGGTGTGTACGTGTGTCCCAACATTCACCGACTCCCTTGAGCAACACCCGGTGGCAACCCCAGGCTCCTTTTTTTCCCGGTCTTTTGTGAATTTGGGTTTTTTAAAAAAAAACGGTGAAAGTGTTTTGTTCGCTGTAATATGTGCACGTGCCTGCACTCGATCCCTTTGCAACGCAGGAGCGGTTCGTACCAATCCCCCAGGCTCTTGGTTTTGTCCTTCGTTTATTTGGGTTGTTACATGAAAAAAATGTTAAGTAAAATATATGTGCTGTGCTGAAATTCGACATCAATGGTGGCAAACCCAAGCCTGCACGCACTCACACGCACGGAGATTGAGATATTCTATTTCAACACAGCAAATAATAATCAGAAGAATCCTTGCATTTGATGTAGCGCATCATCACGTTTGTTCTGACGACTCAAAGCGCTTCGCAGAATATACTGTAAAGCGGGAATTACTGCATATTTTTGTGGGAGAAACATGGCAGCCCATTGCGCACAGCAGTGTCCCACAAACCGTTGCTTAAACATTACACACAGCCCTTTTTGTGATTTAAAAAAAAATGTTTTAAAACAAAATTTTATCTGCTGTGTTGAAATAGAATATCAATATGTGTGAGTGCGCACCGTCCTCACTCACTCCCTTTGTAACTCTATTTGGTTTTTTTTTGCATGTTGGTAAATATATAACATTTATTTTGAGATAACATTTTACCTGAGTCTTGAGGTGCTGCTCGTTGCCTCGATAAGTAACCTATTTTATTCTCTTTGTTGTGTTTATCAGGTGCAATGTGACTGAATATTAAAGGACTGCTCCCAATTTCACAACAAACGTTCTTTGTGATTGTGCTTAAAGACCTTTTTTTAAAAAAAAGGTGTTTACTTATACTGGCCTTCAAGTATTTTTTGATATAAATACCCTGGTCTTTAAATGAACCCTAATGGCCCTTTCCCATTAGGTCATTGCTTTCTTCTTTCCCACGTGAGACAAGCTTCAGTCCACATGACTTACCCTATATGCAATCAAGCAGTTAGTCACTGTGTTGTGTAAACTTGTGCTGTTCGGTAATAATATTGTACTGTATTTTTGTGTTAAATCGTCTTTCTAGTTTTACTGCGGAAAGTGTGCATGTTGTCTTGGAGTCAAAGTGCCAGTCCCGTTAAGTTTGTTTGCATTAAGCTCGTGGTTATTTAGAGAGAGAAGGCTTTAAATCGCACCGTGAATCCAGATTAACTTGTGACAGAACCAGACCTACAAGTATCATGAGAGGGATTGCATGGACATGGTATTTCCTGGCACGGCTGATTCAGTCACATGTTAGCTAGACGTTCGAGTCCCTCTGACTCACTCCCTTTCTCCCCTCGTTCAACGTTCGTCTCAAGACCTACTTTTTTGACCGTACTTTGCTCAGTCATTTCCTGCCCCCCCCACCCTCGGCCCCTATTCCCAGCTCGGACACCCAGCCAGTACTTTTAAAGCCTTTGGGGACGTTCTCCTGATGTGAAAGGTGCTGTATGAATGTGAGTTTGTATTGTGTTTTAGACATGACAAGAAAAACTGCATTCTAGAAACCTGAAGTGGCTTAAAATCCCCCAATTTTCCCAAATGGAGGGGTCAGTCTCGCTCAAGCTGCGGTTCAATCAGCACGTCGGGACTTTGAGCTCATGTAGTCTTTTTGGCTGACACTCCAAGGCAGCGTTGGGGAGCGCAGATTGTTGGAAGCTGTTGGAGATTGTTAAAGGTTCGGCCCTTCCGATGAGAAATCATCTGTGGTCAGATGTAAAACTGAGGTCAGGCGGACATTAGAAATATATTCTATGATGCTATCGTCCTCCCGACGTGAACGTCGCTTTACAAATGTAATTTTGTTGTTGTTACTATTCAAACGGAGGAGGGAGTTTCTCCTGGTGTCCTGGCCAACAATCCTTCAAATAAAATTGGTCATTCTTTTGATAGCTTTCACAGCTTTTAAAGCACATAACTGTGCAAATTGGCTTCCATATTCTCCTACAAATAAGCAGCCACTACACCTTACATTATATCCCATGAGACATTTTGACAGAGTGTCAAATGCAAGGATTATTATAAATGTGTTGCAGGGGTGAGTGACTGCAGTAGATTGGTTGGGTAATCTTCATACCTTCAGCAACTACGTCCTGACCCTCCGTCTTGCCCCCTCCCTCCCCACTTTCAAATCCCGCCTTAAAGACGTTCCTTTTTGATCGTGCTTATGGTCGGCTCCCTCTCCCCCCGAGTCGGTGTCAGACTCTGCCACTGTCGAGCGCTCCGGGATGCTACCCCATATGAAGGGCGCTACATAAATGCATGTTGGGTAAGAGTTGCAAAATTATTTTCTATTTTCTCAACACATGGAGTTCCTTTTTTCAATCAACCAACCAACCAACCAATCAATCAATCAATCAATCAATGTGTGACTGGTGCTCTGGATGGAAGTTAACTTAGCCTTTTGTTCCCTGAAGTAACCCTACTTCGGAGAGTGGGAGATCATGCAAGTAAATGGCTCAAAACAGTGTATGCTTTAGCTTTGGTAACCAAACCCTAATATTACAAGAATGCTTCTCTTTGTACCTTCCAGCAGAAGGATCCTGCATTTGAGAATCAAAATGGAAAAATCTGTAAACCGGCAGTTCAATCTGCATGTCCTGTGTGCCTGTTCAGGCGGAGTTTAAAAGATCCCGTGGATTATTCTGAAAAAGACGAGTTTCTTTTGGTGTCCCCCCCACCCCCCAAAAACAATGACTCCATTGGCTGTAGGACATTGCTGTGTTAACTTGGCTGCTGTGTTTGTGGACACAATCACTATGCTTCCAGCTGTGAGGAGTAATAATAATTCATTACTAATACCTGCCTTTGATATATTGCCTTTCATGTCAGGAGAACGTCTCAAAATGCTTCGCAAATTATACTGTAACAATGAGTTTGTGGGACGTTGCCGTGTGCAAATGCTGAGACAATTTGCACACAGCGACGTCCCGCAAATTGCCATGAAGTGAATGGCCAATTTTTTTATCATAATAATCCTTGGATTTTATGTAGCGCCTTACCATTTCTTCGAGAATTTCAGAGCACTTCACAGGGAGAGGACAAAATTGTAAGGGAGAGAATATATTGTAAAGTAAACTAACTGTATATTTTGTGGGGGGAAATGCAACAGCCAATTGCGCACAACAGTGTCTCACAAACAGTTGTGGATTGAGTGATCAAATTATCATTTTTTTGAAGAGATTATTAACCCCCGAATAAGCGATCCGTCAATCGACTAACAACCGGGTTCCTACTTACTGCTAGTAAACAGAGGTGTGTGGAGTAATGAAACTTGGCCAACGTTTCGCCCTGTCCAGGAATCGAACCCAGGTCCTCGCGCTAGCGAGGCGAAACTATACGCTACAGGACTCCACCATTTTTGGTTGATTGTTGGCCAGGACTCCCTTCCCTTGATACCATATATTGGAGGAGTGTATATGGTCTCAAATGCATTATGCACGCTATCCAGTAGTGCAAAGAAGTTCAATTAGTAAAATTGTTTGCAGAAACTGTGAGGTTATCAAGATATTACTATCTTTACGTTTTGTAAAATTGCATTAAGTTCTCTGCTTTATCTTTCTTCTCGTATCGTGTTGCGCCAGTGCGGTCGTTTCTCACACAATTGACACCAATTGTAACAGCTCTCATGACTTAACAAACTGAAAGTCACAAATTCATGTGACTTGTGGAAAAATAAGTCTCTTGCTTTAAAAGTTGGCTGTAAACCAGCAAAACTGGCACAGAATGTAAGGTAATATTATGGCCGAACACTCCCACTGAAGTCATTGCAAAGTACTATTTTTTTTCAGTTTAAGAAAACTCTCACTTGGCACGTCAGGTCTTTTCTTTCCACAAACCACGTAAACCTATCATGTTGTGGATTACCATCTTCTGGGGGAGGATACACTGACGTTCTCCAAAGGCAACCAAGTCTGCCTGTTCAGGTGGATGTTAAAGATCCCGTGGCACGATTCAAAAAGAAACGGGAGTTTCTCCCAGTGTGCAAATCGGCTGCAACTATTTGCCTACAAAATAACAACAACAAGATTACATTTGTGTAGCGCCTTTCACGTCGGGAGGACGTCCCAAGGCGCTGGACAGAGTATAGCATTTCAGACCCGAGCTGGGGTCGGGAGGGGAAGGGAGGGGAGGGGAAGGGGGGTGGCCGATGGCATGGTCGAAGAGGAGGGTCTTGAGGCGGGACGAAGGAAGCTAAGGAGGGGGCGAGGCGGAGTGACTGGGGATGGAATTCCAGAAGTTGGGGGCAGAGTGGCTGATGGTGGGGCGGGTGGGTCGGGGGTCGTGGAGCAGCCAGAGCCGGCTGAGCGGAGGGAACGGGCGGGTTGGTAGGGGGTTAGGAGGTCACAGAGGTAGGGTGGGGAGAGGCCATGGAGGGCTTTGTATGTGAGACCAGGATCTTGAACTGGATCCTCTGAAGAATAGGGAGCCAATGGAGTCGGGCGAGAGTGGGGGAGATGGGGTCACGGAGTTTGGTGCGGGAGAGGACATGGGCTGCAGAGTTCTGGATTATCTGTAGCCTGTGGAGGGAGGAGTTGGGAAGGCCGACAAGCAGCGCGTTTGCATAGTCGAGCCTGGAGGTGATGAAGGTATGAACAAGAGTTTCAGAGGCCTGAGGGGTGAGGTAGTGGCGGAGTCGAGTGATGTTACGGAGGTGAGGGAAGGCAGAGCAGATCATGGCTTGAATGTGGGGGAGAAAAGAAAGTTAAGGGTCGAACAAGACACCTAGTTTCCTGACTGGTGAGTTGTAGTGTGCAACCATGGAGGTTGATGTTGCCAGAGCCTGAGGTGCGCAATAATTGCCATTTATATCAAACTAGCTGTACCCGTTGCAGCTTTGCTTGCAACCAAAAGATCCAATATGGAATGTAGATTGACACACAGACAGACATTTCGTCTTTAGCTCGACTCAGTGGGAGGACGCGGCGTTTTAAAAATGTAATTGTGTTGTTGTTGCCACGGCTTAGCTTCACCTGTGTTCTTTATCTTGTTCCCACCGCTTGGCTAGGTGCGTGCTCTATAACACAGGATGTCACAGCCCACTTTGACTCGGTGGCCACCAGGTGTAACTGCAGCAAGAAACATAAAACTCATGAAAGATAGGGGATACCTGAAAACAAATATGCCCATGTCACTCCCAGATGCGAGACCTGTCTAATGTGGTGTAAACCATGTCTCCATGTCAATCGGTTATTGAGATCCTTCTTGAAGCGCAGACAGACATTGTCGTTTTATTAGTGTGAGTGTGTGTATATAATATATAAGATAGATAGATGAAGTACTTTGAGACGTCCTCCTGACATGAAATGTCAAATGTAAGGTTTGCTATAGTGAATCCTTGTTGTGATCTTTATCTTTTCACGTGTGATTCATTGTTATTGTTGATTTAGGAATGAATAGCGAAATTGAGGACCAGCTGCTTTATGATGCTCGGAACGGAATTTTGGAGGAAGTCAAACAACTGTTGGATCGGAGGAAAGTTGGGGAAATGACTTTCAATATCAACTGCAAAGGTATAGATTCTTCTTCCTTTGGTCAGCAAAGGCTTTATGTCTGAAGCCTTGTAGCTCAGTTATTAGAGCACTTGCCTCGCAAGCGAGAGATCTGGGGCGAAAAATTATAAAATTTGGGCAAGTTTCCTTACCCCACATGCCTCTGCTTACCTAGCAGTATGTGGGAACCTGGTTGTTAGTCGATTGACGGATCCATTTCCAGGGTAATAATTCCTTCAAAAAATAATAATAATAAATTGGTCACTTCAATCCATGACTGCTTGTGGGACACTGCTGTGTGCAATTGGCTGCTGTGTTTCGCCACAAAATATACAGTCAATTCACTTTACAGTATATTCTGTGAAACACTTTGAGACGTCTCAAAGACGTGATAAGGCACCATATCAAATGCAAGGATTATTATTTATTATTAAAGGAAGCAATTGATTTGGCTTGTGCAATTTGTTTCTTGTATTTCCTTCAAAACTTTAGGTTGGGTCAATGGGGAAAGGTAATAACCAATAATACTTGAAGCATTTATTTTCTGCTGAATGGTGGGAGTTTGAGCAGCTAAGTTTTGGAGATTTTCCTTGCAATCCAAAGGCTTTAATTCAAGATACTTGTCCTCACTTTTAAATCCATCCGCAGCATCTACCACACCCTCGGCTCATTGACCACTGACTGGCCTGCTTTATGTCCCTCACCTGTCCTGCTATCAATGCTTTCAGCCATTTGGCTCCCGCTCTCTGGAACTCCATGTTGAAGTCTCTCCAAATTGCCACCTTTAAAGCCCACTTTAAGACCTTGCTATTGATCACCTTTCTCCCCCCCTCATCTTCCTGAATCTCCCCGAGCTCCGTCACCTGCAGCTCAAGCTTCCACTTGACTCTATGAAGAGTTTTGAGGTGTCCTCCTGACATGAAAGGCACTGGATCAGTGTAAAACTGTTGTTGTAGTTCACAAAATATACAGTCAATTCACTGTACAGTACATTCTGCGAAGCGCTTTGAGACATCTCGAAGACGTGATGAGGTACTATATCAAATGCAAGGATGATTATTATTATTCACAAATTGGAGTGTGGGTTGCGATATCAGGGAATGAGAAGGCTGGTGTCTTAACTTGAACTCAAGTGTTTTTTTTTAAGTAGCCTTTATGACCAGAATACATTTCTACACCACTGGTTTAGTTTATCATCTGTTCTGTTCTAGGCAGAAGCAAGTCTAACCTGGGTTGGACTCCCCTCCATCTAGCTTGTTATTTTGGTCATAAACATGTAGTGGAGGAACTCTTAAAGGTAAGTTGCATCTTTGATCGTTAAATTTTGTGGACATGTATTTTGTGTATCTTTTGCAGGCATTTCACCCACAAAATATACAGTCGATTCACTGTATAGTATATTCTGCGAAGCGCCTTGAGACGTCTCAAAGACATGATAAGGCCTATAATCAAATGCAAGAATTATTATTATTAATAAAGGCTGTTGTAATAATGATTCCTGAATTTAGTATGGTGCCTTTCACGTCGGGAGCACGTCTCAAAGCGCTTCACAGCAGAGCAGCGACTGTGTGTTTTTTCGGGAAACGGGGCAGCCTGTTTGCCCACAACGAAGTCTCGGTGAAATTGCCGAGTTAGCACGTTAATAAAGGTGTTCAGGGGTTGTGCTCATAGCTGCTGCAATGATTTGAATACCTCGCTTATTTCAAAAGTCCTTTCTTCAGGTGGGCGCTGACCATACAGAGAATCGTGCGGCTGAATTTCTTACGGTTTGTGTTCTGTTTTTGTTTTGCTGGCAGGCGGGTGTGGATGTGAACGTAGCGAACGATGTGGGAGACACTCCACTGCATCGCGCAGCCTTCACAGGACGAAAGGTGAGGCGGATGCGTCTGCTATAGCACCTTAACAATACAATACAATATTGCAGTTGTACAGCGCCTTTCACATTGGGAGGATGTCTCAAAGTGCTTGACAACAACAATTTGCATTTATATGGCACCTCTCAGGGTTCCAGAGCACTAGACTGTGGCGGAGTGCAATGCTGAGCTGGTGGGAGGGGGAGTTGATCGTAAGCACGGTCGAAGAGGAAGGTCTTCATTGTGCGACGTGAAGATGGGGATGGAGGGGGCAAGGCGAAGGGATTGAGGAAGAGTGTACCAGAGTTTTGGGGCTAAGTGGCTGAAAGTTCAGCAACTGATGCGTACTTGAGCTGGGGTGAGAACCAAGGGAGGGTGATGGTGGGGAGGTGAAAGATGACCAATGCTGAGGTATGTCTGATATAAATGGTGGAATGATATAAGATCAGGCAAGTTGTAAATCTTTCCACATATTTATTACAATAGCTGTCGGAAGATCTTCAAACACGGAGTGTTTCATTGTGGCAGATCAGAGATGGTTCATACACAGTTGGGACAGGGAATCTTCCCATTCAGCTCCTGTTAACCTGGCAAGCCAAAGCTCTAATGACTAGGGTATTCCAATCAGGACAAGTAGCGAGAAGCTTGCCAGACAGTGCTCTTTAAAGAGAAGCTTTGTGGTTTTAGCTGATTAAACTAGCAGTACCTCATCACATACTCTGGGGTCCTCAAGCTTTGGCTCTTGTCAACCTGAGCCTAATCCTCTCCAGAATTCGATAACCCGACAAACCCCTAGATAAAATTGAGCTTGAATTGAGATTGAATAAAATTCACTTCACAGCTACTTGTGGGACATTACTGTGCGCAAACTGGCAGCCACGTTCGCCTACAAAGTAGTCTCTGCGCTTCACGGTATATTGTGTGAAGCTTTTTGAGATGCTCTCCAGAGGTGAAAGGTTGCTACTCTCGCCATGCACTCCCGAAGGCCTCGCTGCCTCTCACACTGACCTCGCTCCTTGTACTATTTTGTAGGAGCTGGTTATGCTGCTCTTGCAGTGTGATGCCGATGCTGCAGTTATAAACGGGGATGGACAAACGGCACAGGCTGTCACACAGGATGCAGAGATTCGGTGCATGCTTAAAGGTAGTGAGCAGAATGATCACTGAGGTGGATGTCAGTGCCTGTTTCGGGTCAGGGAGAAAAAATAATCATCTCAGCCTAGAGCAGTGGTGGCCAACCTTTTTTGGTCGGCCAACCAAATATATTTTTCTTGATTAGAATATTTCTTAATTTATGGTCACAACATAAATATCGCTATTCAGTACTGTAATAATGTAAGTGAGAACCGGTTTGTTAGTCGATTGGAGGATCGCTTTCCGGGGGAGTAGTCTCTCAAAAAAAAATTGGATCACTCAATCCACGACTGTTTGTGAGACACTGCCGTGCACCCACAAAATACACAGTCAAATCGTTTTACAATCTATTCTATGAAGCGCTTTGAGACGTCTCTCAAAGTGATAAGGTGCAATATCAAATGCAAGGATTATTATTATTACTGGAAACAAAATATTGAAACAAAATATTGGCACACTTACCTAAACTGGTGTGAACATTTGACTGGCCACTTTATCAGTCCCCATCAGCCACTCTTGGCCCTTAGGCCATGGGTTGGCCACCACTGGCCTAGACTGAACTCAAGTCCTGTCAATGAGCTTCAACCCACGACCTTCTAACCCACTGGGCTGCCAACTAGGCTTGGTATTCAGGATGGATGAGATCAGATGGGCTGAAGAACCATCCAAAGAACCAATCTTGTAATTTGAGTGGATGGAGGCCATTGACATGATTTGATGAACATAGTCTATCTATTGAGATGTAAATTTATTCAAGGGGTAATAAAATTCAACATTATGAAACTCATAGTTTGTCAAAGGCAAACATATCCTGTAATAATAATAATAATAATAATAATAATCCTTGCATTTGATATAGCGCTTTTCACGTCGAGAGGACGTCCCAAAGCGCTTCACAGAACACACTGTAAAGTGAATTGACTGTATATTTGTGGGCGAACGCGGCAGCCAATTGCGCACAGCAATGTCCCACAAACAGTCGTAGATTGAAAATGACCAATTTATTTATTGTTTTTGGTTTTGGAGGGATTATTATTAGGCTCTGTGTGGAGTAAGGAAACTTGCCCAAGGTTTCGCCCTCTGCCTGGAAATGAACTCAGGTCTCTCGCTTGCAAAGCGAGTGCTCTAACCACTGAGCTACAGGACTGTAGTCCTGTAGCTTAGTGGTTAGAGCACTTACCTCAAAAACGAGAGACCTGGGTTCGATTCCCAGCAGGGCAAAACGTTAGTCAAGTTTCCTTACACCACACGCCTCTGTTTACCTAGCAGTAAAATAGGAACCCAGTTGTTAGTCCATTGGTGGATCACTTTTCTGGGGTAATAATCCCTTTTTTAAAAAAAAAGCAATAAATTAAATAATAATTTGGTCACTCAATCAGCGTTTGTGGGACACTGCTGTGTGCAATTGTCTGCCTCATTTCGCCCACAAAATATACAGTCAATTCACTTTACAGTATATTCTGTGAAGCGCTTTGAGATGTCTTGAAGATGTGATAAAGCGCTATATCAAATGCAAGGATTATTATTATTATGTTATTATATTATGCCATTGGGTATCAACCTAGCTCATTTAGTAGCATTCGCGCGTGAACTGTTAATTCAAGTCCCACATCAGTACTTTGGCCTCTCGTAGACTCTGCAAACGCTTCAAAGTTTTGTGCTCGAGAGAGGTGCTGTCCTTTGGATGAAACATTAAAGCAAGGAACTATTTTTCCTTTTTGGGTGGACGTTAAAGATCCCACGGCACTATCTGAAAACGGGAGGGAGTTTTCCCCACATGTCCTGTCCAACAATCTCCCAGATAAAATTGGGCAATCACTTCATCACTGTTTTGGGGACCCTGTTATGTGCAAATTGACTGCTGGATTCATCTACAAAACACACAGTCACTGCACTTTGCAACATATCCTGCGAAGCGCTTTGAGATATCCTCCTGACGTGAAAGGTGCTGTATCAAATGCATTTATATTATTGTAATTGTTTTTAAATAGCTGCAGGAACAACGCAACAGCGAAAATTAGAAGAACTCCTCTTAACTGCTGCAAGAGAGGGTGACACAGCAGAAATCACAGCCTTGGTAAGCATGCAGGGAATTAACCAAACACTTGATGATGAGCAAAAGGGGTTTGTTTACCGCTGTGCTCCACCTTGTGGAGCCAATGCAGAAACTATCTTTTTCAACTCCCAGCTGACCTTTAAACCTCACATCCGCCCTAATCCGCTTGGCTTTTGCCCACCTCTGTAACATTTCCCACCTTCACGAGGTGGGAGGGCAACTGAAGGTACGGTCGAAAGAGAAGGGATGCAGACCTGTTTCTCAAATGGAGTGTCCTTTCCAATGCTAGGGTCTGTGAAGTCTATCACCCCCATCCTTGCCTGGCACCACTGGCTCAACATCCCCCAGTAGATCAGGCTCCAGATCCCTACCTCTGTGACCTTTTCAAACCTTATGATCCCACCCGCTCACTCCTCTCGGCAGGCACGGGCCTGGTTTACATCATCCACCCCACTGACTCCACCTTCAACTGTCAGACTTTCAGCCTTTCTGCCCCATTCCCTGGAACTCCAACCCGGAGTCTTTATGGCTTGGGCTTTACCTCACCTCATCCAAGGTCCATTTCAACACCTTCCTCGGACCATGTTTTTGGTCATCTTTCATCCCCAACCCATGGACTGTCCAGCGGCACCCTGGGATGTTCTGATATGAAAGTCTCTCATAAATGTAAATTTGTTGTTGTTGTTATTGGCAACAACAACAACAAGATTGCATTTATAGAGCGCCTTTCACATCAGGAGGATGTCCCAAGGCACTGGACAGTTGGGTCGGGACCCGAGCAGGGGAGAAATGATCAGGGTGAGGGGAGGGAAGGGAGGGTGCGAGGAGGGGGTAGAGAGTCGAGAGGGGAGGTGAAGGCATGGTTGAAGAGAAAGACCGGCCTTGAAGGAGGAAAGGGAGGAGGCAAGGCGAAGGCACTGGGGGATGGAGTTCCAGAGCCTTGGGGCTGAGAGGCTGAAAGCCCGGCCACCGATGGTAGGGCGGTTGGGGCGGGGGGTGTGGAGCAGACCAGAGTCAGAGGAACGGAGGGTACGGGCAGGTAGGTAGGGGGATAGTAGGTTGGAGAGGTAGGAGGGAGCGAGGCCGTGAATGGCCTTGTAGGTGAGGATGAGGATCTTGAATTCGATCCTCTGGGGGATGGGGAGCCAGTGGAGGCGAGCGAGGGTGGGAGTGATGTGTTCCCGAAGCCTGGTGCGGGACAGTACACGAGCTGCAGAGTTCTGAATGACCTGCAGCTTGTGGAGGGAGGTGCCGGGAAGGCCGGCGAGGAGAGAGTTCCCATAGTCCAGCCTTGAGGTGATAAAGGCGTGGACCAGAGTTTCAGCAGCGTGAGGGGTGAGGTAGTGCCGTAGTCTGGCGATGTTTCGGAGGTGATGGAAGGCGGTGCCAGTTGTGGCGCAGATGTGGGGAAGAAAGGACAGCTCAGGGTCGAACAGAACCCCGAGGTTCCTGATGGCTTTGAGAGGTGGAGAGTGCAGCCTTGGATGCTGATGCTGTCAGCGCCTGAGGTGCGGAGGCGCTGACGTGAGCCAATCAGGAGGGCCTCAGTTTTACGCACGTTGAGCTGAAGAAAGTTGTCTCTCGTCCAGGACTCGATGTCGGACAGGCAGCTGTCAGGACATCGGTGGTCGTGGAGTTGAGGGTAGAGGAGGAAAGGTAGAGTTGGGTGTCATCCGCATACATGTGGAAGTTAACCCCATGTCTGTGGATGATGTCACCGAGGGGGAGCATATAGAGGGTGAAGAGGAGGGGACCGAGGACAGAGCCCTGAGGGACACCGCACGAGACAGTGCGGGGGGTGGAGGAGAAGCCGTTAGTGGAAACAAAGTGAAGACGGTGGGAGAGGTACGACCTAAACCACTCAAGGACAGGGCCTTGAAGGTTGAGGTGGGAGGACAAGCGGTGGAGGAGGATAGAGTGGTCGACCGTATCGAATGCTGTTTACAGGTGCTGCATTTACTTTTACTTGGGAATCCAGAGCTGTTTCCCAAATGGGCCCAACGGCCTTCTTCATCCAGACCTATCTTATGATCTTACAGTAAAAGGTTCCCGTGCTCCTTCCATTTATTGTCACTCTTTGTGAAGTTAAACAGGCCGAGCCCTGCAAGCGTCAACTGCACCGACATGCTGGGAAATACACCGTTACACTGCGCGGCTTATCGAGGTCAAAAGCAGTGCGCTCTGAAGCTTCTGAAATGTGGCGCTGACTGCAATATCAGGAACAAGAACAGTGAGTAGTGACAAAGTGACCGCCCTGCTGTTATCGAGAGGAACACTTGCTCGGAGCGAACCCGTACTTTAAAAAAATATATATATCTGCTCTTTACCAGCTTTGTAAAAACACCTGAACTTTGACCGTGCCTTCAGCTCCCCCCTCGACTCTCTACCCCCTCCTCGCTCCCTCCCTTCCCTCCCCTCACCCTGACCATTTCCCCCCTTGCTCGGGTCCTGACCCAACTGTACAGCGCCTTGGGACGTCCTCCCGACGTGAAAGGCGCTCAATAAATGGAATCTTGTTGTTGTTGTTGTTAAACTAAAATACGTGCGATTTTGTTTCATTGTCATTCTCGGGGCTTTTCTTTTGGGGTTAATGTTTGCTGTACCCTCCAATTTCCTGGACGCCTCTAATGTACTGATGATCACACAGGGCTCCACTACCGGAATGGAGTGGTCATTTAGCCCTTTCTGTTTCAGAACCTGATATGATCTTAGGCTTTTTAGCATCTGAACCTACAACATTCCTGATAACTCAGCTATTGATTAATGACTCTAAAAAAAAAAAGAATCCAGTTACTACACTTTACGGTATATCCAGTCCCCTTGACATGAAAGGCAAACGTAAGGATTATTAATGTTGATTCAATTCCTGCTCTGAATGTTCCTCCCGAATCAACGTTTTCTTCACTAGGTGGCAGTGTATTCCATAGCTCGCTGCATTTTAATTTCATTGCTACTTGTTGTTAGCTTGTGCAGCATATTTTTCTTGTTCCTGTCTGCTCTATCCAGGTGGAAGTTATAACTATAATTCTTGCATTTGAGATAGCGCCTTTTCATGTCGATGAAACATCTCAAGGCGCTTCACAGAATATGTTGTAAAGTGAATTGACTGTATTTTGTGGACAAGATGCAGCAGCCAATTGTGCACAGCAGAGTCGCACAAACAGTCATGGATTGAGTAACCCAATTTTTTTTTGAGGGATTACTAACCCGAGAAAGCGATCCGACAATCGACTAACAACTGTGTTCCTACTTACTGTTAGGTAAACAGGCGTGTGGAGTAAGGAAACTTGCCTAACATTTCACCTTAGCCGAGAATCGAACCCAAGTCCTCTCGGGTTCTAACCACTACCCTATAGAGCTCCACGTTAAGGATTCGATGGCGCAATTCGAAAAGGGAAGGATTTTCGGCATTTTTTAGTGTGCAATTTGGCAGCCGCTATAAGTAGTTTACACTTCACAGTAAAATCCTGTGAAGAGCTTTGAGATGTTATGTTGACATGACAAAGCCCTTGTTCAAATGCAAGATCTATTATTACATCTCAAAAAGCTTTTACCAATTCTGCTCATTGTTTTAATAAATAGGATATCTTATCCTTCCACATCAATGTTGGATGAGGACTGAATTGACTTCACACTCCTGATTATAACAATAACATAAATTGTTTTTGAGAGATTGTTACCCTCAGAAAGTGATCTGCCAATCAACTAACAACCAGGTTCTTACTTATTGCTAGGTAAACAGAGGCGTGTGGAATTGCAGTACTTGTTCAGTTTGATCCATTCAACAAAGTATTTGGAACCTCTGAACTCTCTCCCTTGACCACTCTGTCTTTCTAAGTCTTGCCTCAAATCCTGCCACTTGGACACCCCTACGGTCACCTCTCCCTTGCTCGGCACGTCCAACCTCGTCCTTGTAAAGCGCTCCCGAGATGTTACCCTATGTGAAGGGTGCTGTATAAATGCAAGTCTGTTATTTCTCACTCTACAACCTTGTATGTAAGGAGCAATGGATGTTGCTCGAATTCCTCATCCAGTCTCATTTTATTCAACAGACCAAACCGCACTTGATCTGGCTCAAGGAACAGAAATGAAACAGATACTTGATGGGAAGCCCAATAAGGTTTGTATCTAATTTTCTCTTTGTTGTGTCCTTTTTAGGAAGGTCAAGGTATGTGACCCAGAATACAATATCACAACACTTTACATTGATAATAATAATAAATAATCCTTGCACTTGATATAGCGCTTTTCACATCTTCTAGATATCTCAAAGTGTTTCACAGAATATACTGTCGAGTGAATTGACTATATTTGTGGGTGAAACGCAGCAGCCAATTCCACACAGCAGTGTCCCACAAACAGTTGTGGTTTGAAGTTACCAATTTTTTTTTTGTTGATTGTTATGAAATGTGTGGAGTAAGGAAACTTGCCCCAAGGTTTGCCCTCGAACCCAGATCTCTCGCTTGCGAGGTGAATGCTCTAACCACTGAGCTACAGGACTCAAAATAGTGATATATTGCCATTCTGGTTGAGAGGATGTCTCAAAGTTCTTGGAATCAATATCGCCTTTAATATTTTAAGTGCTTCTTTCAGCATTACTCATTTGAAGAATATTTTTACCGGGGTGGGGGGTTGCTGAATAGAAGACCACAAATAAACTTAACAAAAACATAACTGGAAATAACATAAGAATTTGCTAGGTGAAAGAAAGAAGACCAAGGTCCATCTAGTTCGCCTTCCAACATCCTGGTAGTCGCTTGATATATTGTGTCCCAAACTATACTGTATTCTGAGATATTATTTTCTTGCAGAAATTTATCTTATTTGTTCTTGAAATAAACAACACCCTCTGCTTCCACCAGCTCCCTGTCCATCAACAACACACAGTGCCATTCACTTTGAATAATGTTTCAGAGAGCTGAATAACAGCGGATTAGATGCCAAACAGGCAAGGAAAGGAGGAGAAGGGGGAAGGAGGGTATGAGGCAGGGCTTGAAGACGGATGTGGAGGGGGCTAGATGGAGTGGTTGAAGGAGAATTCTCCAGAGGTGGGGGCGGAGGGGAATGTGTGTGATTGACGAGAGGTGATTGAATCAGAATTTGATAGTACGCCAGCTATGAATCTTGTCCAAGATCATGGTCCTTCACTCTTCAGATAGAGTTAATATTACATTCAGACTTGAGGAGGACTTTTCTGAGCCTAGAAAATAGGTTTCATCAACCAAAAAATGGGTGAAGCTTTTGATCTCGTCTTAATTGTATATTTTGTGGGCCAAGTGCATGTCCCACAAACAGTCGCGGATTCAGTGACCAAAGTTTGTTATTATTTTCTGAAGGGATTATTACCCCCGGAAAGCAATCCCCCAATAGACTAACAACCAGGTTCCAATTTAATTCCAATGGAGTCCTGTAACTAAGTGGTTAGAACACTCGCCTCATAAGTGAGAAACCCGGGTTTGATTCCTGGCAGGGCAAAACCTTGGGCAAGTTTGCTTACTCCACACGCCTGATAAATTGGTCTCTTCAATCAACGACTGTTTGTGGGACGCTGCTGTGTTCAATTGACTGTCACAGTTCGCCCACAAATATACAGTCAATTCACTTTACAGTATATTCTGTGAAGCGCTTTGAAACATCTAGAAGACGTGATAAGCGCTATATCAAATGTAATTATTAATATTATAATTTATTGCTAGGAAAACAGAGGCGTGTGTAAGGAAACTTGTCTAAGTTGTCCTGTCCAGCAAGTTGTTCAGCAATTGAACCCAGGTCCTCTCACTTCCACACAGCAGTGTTCCACAAACAAACATGGATTGAGTGACCAAATCATCATTGTTTTTTATTCAGGTGTCAGCGCTTTCAGTGGATCTGACCACTCTAATCCCAATTCCATGCTCTTTCCCATGTAACCTTTTGCATTGTTCTACTGGATATACTCTATGTGTTGGCATAATTAAAAAATAAAAATAAAGTTCCACGTTCCCCCTGCAATTATTTTAATAAGCAGGCTTGCTTCTGGAATTGTTTTTTTTAATCTGTTTTTAAATTAATGCAGATCAAATAACTGGAACTGATGCTAATTTTTTTTCTCTCCAGGGACCATATAAAGTGGTTCAACGATTTGAAGGGCCTCTTTTCAAGGTAACTGACTTTTTTATGTAAGCTTGCCAATTTAAATATACAGTAAACAACAATCATAATACTCCTTGCATTTGTTAGTGTATCACGGTGTTGAAGCGTCTCAAAGCGTTTCATGGTGACTGTATATTTTGTGGGCAAAACGCGGCAGGCAATTGCTCACAGCAGTGGCCCACAATCCGTCCTGGATTAAGGTGGGAGGGAGGGTTTTTCTGGATATTTAAAAAAAAACTTCTCTCCCCTCTTTTTCCCTCCCCACCCAGACACCACCCATCTGCTCTTGTCAGAATTTCTATTTTCTCCCATTTCTAGTCAAGAAAATTATTTAAACTCCTAGCGTGCTTCCCAAACTTTTGAACAAATCAGATCAAATTGAAGATACTTGTTCTTGTCTTCAAATCACAACAACGAATACAGTTTTGCAATAAATTCTGTGAAGCGCTTTGAGACGTCTTAATGAGGTGATAAAAGTGTTATATCAAATGCAAGGCGTATTATAAATGTACAATTTAAATCTCTCCTCAATCTCACCCCTGTCCTACCTCCTTTAACCCTACTATTTCATCTGCTGCCTTCGCTCGGCGAACACCAGCCAGCTTCATGTCTGTTTTCCCCTGCACCCCCATCCCCCGCCCTTTTCGCCCCAACATCAGCGGGTGACCTTTGTACCCTGTTCTTTGGAACTCCATCCCGGAGTCCCTCCAACTCATACCTTCACTCCTTCGCTTTGTACAGGGTCTGTTTCAAGACCGACCACGTTGACTTTGACTACTTATACTGAGGAGGGAAAGGGAGGTTGTACCTCATGATCACCTTTCCCCCCCTGTAACCATGTAGCCTTCAGTATTCACCACCAGTTTGGGTGCCTAACTGGCATTGTCGAGCGCATTGAGACATCCTCCCGACATGAAAGGCGCTGTGTAAATGTTAATTGTATTCTACAAATCGCTGTTTGAGTAACGTGCTGGCTGCTGTGACCTACAAAATGATTTGAGTGATTGCCTTCATGGCCGTTTTTAATTCGACTTTAATTATTCTCCAGCGTTCCCGATTCTTCGGACTGAATTTGCATTGGGTGGTTTTAGAACGTGGGGTTCTGTCGTGGTTCCAGAACCAGTAAGTGACCAAACGAGTAGCTATTTTAGGTCATTAATTAAGAATGTCAAAGTTCCTGTGCTAACTAACGGACGCTGCTAATTCCTCTCCCTGTTTTCTAAGGTCTGACGCTCTGGCTGATCTTCACCGCCAAGGTTGCAAGCATTTAACGCAAGCAATTTGTACGGTAAGATATTTTTCTGAATATTGCATTGGTTTGAGAAAGACTCCAGTGAATTTCTTACAGTTTGACACAACGTCTTTCATGTCGGGAGGACGTCTCGAAGTGCATCACAGGATTCACTGTAAAGTGTAGTGACTATTTTGTGTTTGAACACGGCAGCCAATTTGCATACCGTAATGCACCACCAACAGCCGTTAAATGAATGACCAATTTTAATGGGGAATTGTTGGCCAGGATACCAAGGAAAAACTCCCCTCTCTTTTTGGGTAGCACCATAGGATCTTTTAACATCCACCTGAATGGGGCAAATGGGACCTTAGTTTAACGTCTCATGCGGAGGACAACACTTCCAGTAATCTAGTACTTCAATTCTCCCCACCCACTCCCCTGCCCCCAAGCATTGCACTACTGTGAGACATTGCTGTGTGAAACTTAGGTGTAAAGGCCCACCCATGTTGTGTGAGCAGGATGTGTAAAATGCTTCGAAAAGCCTCCCAACATGAAAATCGGCTCATCAAACGTAAGACTTATTATTCTTTGCTTCTTGGTGGTGCTTTTCCAGAAGCACTGCAGGTTTTTATCACAACAACAAGAACTTGCATTTATATAGCACCCCTCATGCAGGGTAGCATCACAGAGCGGTTGACATTGGCAGAGCATGAAGTTGCAGCATGAATCTTTGATGTACACAAGCTTAAACCTTCTGGCAAATTATCCTCCTGACACTATGTGACCTGGTGAGATGGGACTTAATTTGTTATGCTGAATCCAAAATGCATGCAGAGTTTGGTATCGCTTAGTCTACTAAGAATGACTGGGTACGTCCCCAGTGACACCAGTTAGCATGGCAATGAAGGCTCCGAATGGATCTTACTATAATTACACCAGAAGTCCTTGGGGATAAAGTGCTACCTACATTTTATGTGCACGCAAATTTCTGGCATCTTATTTTTTTTTGTCTTTCATTGCAAAGGTGAAAACGACTGACAGGAGCGTCTTTTCAGTCAAGTACTTCGACGACAGTAACCACATCTTTAAAGTGCATCCCAAAAATGAACCAGAGCAGACGAGACAAGTGAGTGCTGAAAAATTTGAAGAGGGAGAACTTTGACATTGGCTTTTTAAGCAATGTTGCAAAACACAACCCATGTCCGTCATGCTGCAAGTTTTTATTGCGAGAGGTTGGCGCACAAAGTTTAAAACTTCTGCCAAATTATCCTCTTGGCATTATGTGCCCTGGTTGTGGAATGCAAGCCTTGGAAAGCATGTGTTGGTAACTTCGCAATCCTTGCATGTGTTTTCCTCCAACAACAACTTGGGGCAGTGTCTCGAAGCACTTAACAGGGGTGGAGCCTAACGTCGAGCTGGGGGCAGGAAGGAGGTTTCCATCAGCCTGGTCGAAGAGAAAGGTCTTCAACAACAAAGTGCATTTGTATAGTGAGGATGTCCCAAGGCGCTGGACGGTCAAAGATTTGGACCCGAGCAGGGGGTTGGGATCATGGAGGGTAGGGGTAGGAGGGGCCCAAATGTACGGTCAAAGAGGAGGGTCTTGAAACGTGCCTTGAAGGAGGCAAGGGAGGGAGCAAGGCGAAGGGGATGGAGTTCCAAATGGTGGGGTCAGAGAGGGTGAAGACCAGACAACCTATGGTGAGGTGGGCTGGGTGGAGGACTCGATCTTCTTTAGTCGTTATCTAAAAGAGGGGAAGGAATCCTGCAGCTCAGTGGTTAGAGTACTCGGCCTCACAAGCGAGAGACCTGGGTTCGATTCCCGGCAAGCCGAAACCTTGGGCAAATTTCCTTACTCCACACACCTAATAATAATCCTTCAAGAAAAATAATAATAATAAATTGGTCATTTTAATCCATGACTGTTTGTGGGACACTGCTCTGCGCAATTGGCTGCCTTGTTTCGCCCACAAATATATACAGTCAATTAACTTGACAATATATTCTGTGAAGTGCTTTGGGAAGTCTAGAAGACGTGAAAAGCGCTATATCAAATGCAAGGATTATTATTATTATTAGGAGGGGGCAAGGCGGAGGAATAGGGGGAGAGAGTTCCAAAGATTCAGGGAGCAGTGGATGAAAGTGTGGCTGCTGATGGTGGAGCGGAGGGGACAAGGGACAAGCATTTTCCACATGAAGTAGGCACTACCTATTAAAAACGCCCGCCCTCAAAGATTCAGCAGTAGATTCAAAACTGCACTTCATAGCCACAGTTGGGAAAAATAATTAAACGCAAAATACTGCTGATGCAGGAAATCTGAAACAAAAACAGAAGTCACTGGAAACACGCAGCAGGTCAGGCAGCATCTATGAAGAAAGGAAAGTGAGTCAACGTTCCCGGTACACGACCTTTCATCAGAACTGGGCATGTCGAGAGGGAGAGGCTTTTAAGGACTAACATAGAGGGGGGAGACAGGGCAAGGAAGACAAAGGAGAAAATGGGGTAGAGGACAGGGGATGATGGTTTAATGAGGTGGAATGATAATTCGCCTGTGGTTCTTGGAAGAGATTTTGAAAATTTTAAATTATTTGAACGCATCAAGGTAAAACCACTGGATAGCCTCCTCCTCGTGTGCTTAAGAGAGGACGTCACCGTATTCTTTTGATTCCATCATTGTTTCAGAAAAGTGAAGGCTTTTCACTTAAGACCTACCTCTTCAACGGTGTCTAAGGTGGGATTTAACGATGGATCAGAAAAGAGCCCATAATTTTAGTTGGCAAAATGTGAAGACGTGAATAGTAATAGAGGGAGCCGCAAGCACACTTACTACTGCAACAACAGCAACTTGCATTTACTATTTAACACCCTTCTCACTGGGTAGTGAACACTGTGGCTGTGTTGTGACACTTAAGTGATTTGTGAGCATCAGGGTAGATGCTAAGATATGTCTGCAAAGATGTCAGAAGCTTATTTGATCAAGATGCCTCAATGGATATTGTATTCCTCCTTCCCCCCACCCACCCCCTGTTGGAAAATGTTATTCCCCAATGACACTTATCTTTTGTTTGAACAGCATTGTCACGTAGAAATCATCAGTGATCCACTTGCTTACTATTTGGATTTTGTGTTTCTGTTAACCACAGTCAGATGAGAAACACTTCAAAGAGTTTCCATTCTTTTCACCCACAAAATTTACAGTCAATTCACTTTACAGCTGAAGCATTTTGAGATGTGCCAGTGATAAGGCACTATATCAAATGCAAGGATTATTATTATTTCCAGTGTATTGGTTGCTGCACAGAAATTGAACTGCGAAGGTTAGGTGTGGTTGATGCTTGTACTGTTGAACTGCTCAGTTTAAGGTTGACATAAGATTACAGTCACAGTAGAGGTTAGAATGAAAAAAGACACTTTATTCCATTTTGCTTTCATCCTTCCAAAGTACTCATTCCTATCTTCCATCGAAATGCAACAAAACTGGTTCCATGGGCATGTTCAGGTCATTATTTCCATGTGTTTGGAAACGTATGGAAACAGCTTAGCAGAAGTTTGTGAAGCAATGCACTTGGCCAGGCACTTAAAGCGCTCGGAGACACTACCTCATGCAAAGGGCTAGATATAAATACAGTTGTCTTTGTTGTTGCATTGTATATTTGTCTGTGGTTTTACTTATTGTGTTGTTCACCTCCTTGTTTTTGCTTTTTCCTCATACTCTAGAAATGGTTGAAAGCCATAGAAGAGCATTCTGCTTACAGTACTCATTACTGCTCCCAGGACCAGTTTACTGATGACGATGATGAGGATTTGGTGCCTGTTGGGATTTTGCAGGACTCATTTCAGGTACAGTACAATATCATTTACAACACAATTTGTACAGCACCATTCATGGCGGAAGGACATCTCAAAGTGCTTGACACTTGGCTGGATGGACACCTGAGCTGGAGGTGGGAGCCGAGGAAGGTAGGGAGTTGAAAGATAACCAAAAACATGGTCGGAGAGTTGCATGTTGAGGCGGGCCTTGACCAGGTGAAAGGAAGGATGGAGGGAGTTGGACGGACTCCAAGATGGTGTTTCAGAGAGCGGAGGCAGAATGGCTGAAAGCCCACCTGATGGGTTAGGAAGGCTAAGGCAGGGGAAATGAAGCAAGCTAGTGCTCGCTGAGCAAAGGGAGGTACTGGTTGCTTAGCAGTTGCTAATACAATTTCACAAGCGTAGAATGATTATTATTTTATACACGGCGAGCAGACTTGCATGAGCTGCGAACAGATGCATCTCTGTTAGTTATTTCACAGATTGAAGTAACTCTGCCATTTGTCCCAAGACTTAGATGGGAGAAGAGGTGGAACTTTTTCAGTGATTAATCTTTGAACGGTGTGAGCAGATATGTGCAGGATTAAACAGAGATGGGAGACTTCTTTAAACCTGTTTATAAAAATATGAATACTTCAGTCTGTAAGACAAGACATTACTAAAGTATCATTGATGTTTTTGAATGTAAGCCTAGTCAGTAAAAAGATTCTAAATTTGATCATATGTGTTTCGATATTTTTAATAATATCAGAGGATTACTATTACAACCAACACATCATCATTAGGGTAAAACTAACCTGTCTCATGATGGTCTAACCCCAGCTCACATTCCCCTATCAGCGGATGAACAAGCCAATACTTGGTGAATTCTGCTTCATATGATAGGAAGAGCCGACATCGAAAGATCAAAAACCGATGTCGCTACGAACGCTTGACTGCCACAATAATAATAATAATAATCCTTGCATTTGATATAGAGCCCTATCATGTCTTTGAGGGGTCTCGGATCACTTCACAGACTATATTTTGTAGGTGAAGCCAGTTATCCTTGTGCAACATTTCTGACAGCTCTTGCTTAAAACCCAAAAAGGCAGGTTCAATTGGTATCATACATATCTCTGAGCCAGAATCGGATTAAAACCACAGGTTGAACTCGCCTCGTCTATGCCAGTGGTGGCCAGCCTTTATGGTCGGCCAATAAAATACATAAAATATTTTTGATTGAATACTTCTTGATTCACAGCATAGGTTATGGGGGTGGGGGAGGTGGGTGGGGAGCTTGGCTTGGCGGCCCTCAATCTACTTCTGGCACACGGGTCACAGTTTGGCCACCACTGGTCTAAGGTGACACTCCAACACAGTGCTGGAGGAGCTCCTTCATGGCTGTTTGTTTTAACATTGCTGTGAAGCAAATTGGCTGCCAGCTACGTCTACAAACAACGCCATCATTAAATAATAATAAATCTTTGCATTTGATATAGCTGACTGGGGGAAGAAAATAATTTTTGCTATTATAATTTTTAATGGACTAATGCAGAAAGTTGTTTATTTGAAGTGATGCATTTTTTTAGTGCATTTAACAGCATTCTTTTAAAAACTCATTAAACGCTCTGACAAGATGTCCAATTAACACATATCTAGCACTGCCGAGATATTGATTACTGTAACAGTTCTGTGTAGAAGATGTATTTTCATTTACAAAGTTACTTGCAGTGCGAAGAATGCTGCCCTATGAGCTCTTCCTATTTTGTCAGCAGTTTAAAAAATAATTAATGCCTTGAATTGGAGCAAGTGCTTAACTGTGTCACCTTGAAACTAAGGTAAAAGACTTAACCTCAATTTAAGGGATGTAAAATTGCATCTTAGAATAATAAGCAGAATCCGAAACTCTAACTGTCTAGCACCTTGGGACGTCCTCCCGACGTGAAAGACGCTGTACAAATGTAATTTTGTTGTTGTCTCAAAATGCTTCAGAGGATATGCTGTGGGTTTTATGGGTGAACGATAAGAAAGCCTTCAGTAACAAATTTAACCACGTTTTTGCATTTGTAGAGCACTGATATCTATGCAACAAAAGGCGTGGTCTAATTCCCACAATATTTTAACAGCGACACGACCATGCTCTTTGTTTAAAGTATTGTGACATCAAATAATATACAAATCATGATGGCATGCAATGCTAAATGATTTCCCGTGGTCAGACAATGATTAATTCAGGCTGATTTATTGCAGTAAGAGCAGTGGCCTGGAGGGTTTAACCTCTAATCGCACCACGCTGCGGTGCTGCTGTTGATACAATCTCGCACCTCTGTGGTCACCTGTGAGTCATGTCCTGTAAATTCTGAGCAATAATAAGAGTGAAGCGAACAACAGCTCTCTATTGCTAAAGCTCTGGCATACAATTAACCCAACTCGCCACAGGATTAAATGGGCAGATCCGTCAACAGCACTTTTTTTTTCCTTTGCTCGGCTTAGTACAATAATCCTTGCATACGATCCAGCAACTTATTACTTCCTTGGGCATTATAAAGTGTAGTGACTGCATATTTGTAGGCAAAGCTGTAGCTAATCGGCACATAGCAGTGTCCCACAAACAGTTATGAAATGAGTGACCAATTTTCATTTGGGGGCTTGTTGGCCAGGACATCAGGAGAAAGTCTCTTCTCTTTTTAAATAGTGCGTAGGATCTTTAACGTCCACTTGAACAGACAGGCAGGACTTTGAATTAATGTCTCATCCGAAGCACGTCATTTCCAACAATGCAGCACTTCCCCAGCATCGCATTGGAGTGCCAGACTATACTGCGTGAACTCTAAGAGTCCCGACTTGGGGTTTGAACCCACGATATTTTGACTCATAGGCAAGACAGCTACTTCTGAGCCAGGGAGACATCACACTGCTTATTGTATGAGCTCATTTCAAGTTTACTGTACCAAACTATATCGCCTTTCTTTTTCAAATAAAAGTTAATTGCTCAGCCCATCTACTTCATTTGCCCAGATCGCTTTGAAAATGTTTCCATGTCCCGTATGTGGGTCTTGAGGCCATGCAACTTGATGCTGTCGGCAAATATTATGTTATGAGAATTATCCTCCCTCAGGTCACTTTTGAATACCAAAGGCAGCATTTAACAGGGTAAAAAAACAGCTAGGATTCAATGAATCATTATAGCAGGGCTATGGATGCGGATGTAGAATCTAACACTGTAGATTTTACAATGTGGGAAGGGAAACATAGAGCAGATTGAAGGAATTTGAATGCAACCCAAGGTTGCAATAATGGTGCCTTCTATTTCCAGTGCATTCCCGACTAGGCCAACAAAGGTCATCACTGGCATGCTGTTTGTCTTGCCTTTCATTGAGATGCCATTCAGATGAACACTATTTGCCTAAGTTCTCTTTGGTTGGAACATTTGCTACAGTGGACCTGTAACGTGCCATACTAGAAGCAAGACCAACTCCTGTGCTTCAGTATCCTAATCCAAGAGTCAAGAGTAACTCGATGGTGTGAGCTGTCAACATTAAACTCCCATCTGTCCTGTGGCGTATTGGTTAGAGGACTTGCCTCAAAAGCAAAAGGACCTGGGTTTCATTCCTGGGCAGGGTGAAACCTTAGGCAAGTTTCCTTACTCCGCAAAAGTCTGTTTACCTAGCAGTAAGTGGGAACCCAGTTGTTAGTCAATTGGTGGATCGCATTCCAGCAGTAATAATTTCTTTAAAAAAAAGTTTTAAAAAATAATAATTTGGTCACTCAATCCACAACTGTTTGTGGGACACTGCTATGCACAACTGGTTGCTGTGTTTACCTCACAAAATATACGATCAATACACTTTACGGTATACTCTGTGAAGCGCTTTGAGACGTCTTGAGATGTGATAAGGCGCTATATCAAATACAAGGATGATGATTATTATTATTATCTCTTTGACTCTCTCCCACTCCCTTCTCCCTCGCTTGGCATCCAGAAAAAATGCCAGACTTTCCCAACGCTTCGCTGCTTGACAAACCCTGAGTGTTTCTTACAATGTAGAGAAGAGGATTTTGCATTTCGTGGGCATTCATGAACCAAGACCAGAATGTTTCAAATTAGTCACATGATGAGACCAATTTGCTGTAAAGTTGACTGAGGTTTCATTTTCAATCAAATGCTTTGTGGTGGGGGAGGAAGAGCGGGGAATGTTAACACTGCAAATACATTCTAATGCCACTCGATACACAGAGGCTGATGTGTATCAGCTGTATGTATTATAGCAGCCAAATAAAGAAAGCAGAGAGTTTTAGTGGGGGGAAAGAATTTGCTTTTGTTTAGAATAATGTAGCATTATTATTAATGTACCTAACCAAAATAAAGGTTTCCCTGTACGTTAGCTTGTATTCTTTTAACACCCATTGTTTACTGTCATCTTCCCTATGTATTCAGACTGTACAAGCCTGCCAGCAGAAGCTGGAGAAGGAAGTTTCTGCCTTATTGACCATGGTGGAAGACTCTGAGGTTGCAAAAGGTAATGATACCACTGTAAACCGTGAATGAATACTCATTGCAACTCCCTTCTAATACTGGAAAATTTCATATAGCCCACAACTATACAGTCAATTCACATTACAGTATATTCTGTGAAACACTTTGAGACTTCTCGAAGGCATGATCAGGTGCTATATTAAATGCATTATTATTATTACATATGTACCTTCGAAGAAGGTTATCTTTTCATAGAGCAGCATCCATGAAGCATTTCTGGATAAAGGCTTGGATTTACAAGGTAGCATAGTTTATTTGCCACTAGCTTTATTTTCAAATACATGAATACATTAGAATATACAGCACAGAAACAGGCCATTCGGCCCAACTAGTCTATGCCGGTGTTTATGCTCCACATGAATCTCCTCCTGCCCTTCCTCAACTAAGCCTTCAAGCATAACCTATTCCCTTCTCCCTCATGTTCCTATCTAGCTTCCCCTTAACTACATCTATGCTATTTCCCTCAACAACTCCTCATGTTCCAAATTGCCACTGATCTCTGTGTGAAGAAATTTCCCTATTTGATCTATTTGTGACTATTTTATATTGATGGCCTTTGGTTTTGGTCTCCCCCACAAGTGGAAAAATCTTCCCGATATCTACCCTATCAAAACCTTACATATGCAATACGTATTCTTGTTGTTGTTGTATGCATATCAAAAGGTAGGAACGTAAATCTATCAAGTACCAGAAACTCTTTAAATGAATAATCATATTCCAATGCAATACTGGGGATGAGCTGCATTGTCGGAGATGCCGTCTTTCGGATAAGATGTTTAACTGAAGTCCCGTCCTGGAGAATGTTGGAAGATGCTATGGCACCATTCATAAAGAGAAGGATCCAACAATCCCTTGGATAAATTGGTTGTTCACTTCATGGCTGTTTGTCGGACTTTGCTCTGCTTTGCTCTTCTCTTTGACCGAGCCTTCAGCTCCCCTCTCGACTCTCTTCCCCCTCCTCGCTCGCTCCCTTCCCTCCCCTTACCCTGACCATTCCCCCTCCTCGCTCCCTCCCTTCCCTCCCCTCACCCTGACCATTTCCCCCCTGCTCGGGTCATGACCCAACTGTGCAGCGCCTTGGGACGTCCTCCTGACGTGAAAGGCGCTTTATAAATGGAATCTTGTTGTTGTTGTTGTTGTTGCACAAATAGGCACCAGCATTGGCCTACAAAATACACACAGTCACTACAGCTGCAAAATCTCATGAACCTCCTTGCAAAGTGTCTTGACGACGTGATAACAATTTGCATTTATATAGCACCCGTCACCTCGGGTAGTGTTTCGGAGTGCTTAACAATTAAGCCGCTATAAGGTACCAAGTCAACCTCCTTCCAATCCAATCTGCACTGCGGCACTTTGTTAATGCCAAGGCATCAGGTGCGCATGACATTAATGCTGAGTTCCTAAGAGCTGTTCAGGTGAACATTAAACATCACATGGTGCTATGCGAAAAAAGTAGAAAGTTTCTCCCTGTGTCCTGGCCAACAAATCCTCCAAATAAAATTGGTCACATATTCTATGGCTGTTTGTGGGATAATGTTGTGCGTGAACTTGTTGCTGTGTTTAACCCACATTTTTCCCATATTTAGGAAATATACAATTGAGTTGTGAAATATTTGGATGTGCTTGTCAGTAGGTTATCCGATGCGTGTAGGTTCTGATTTTTTAAAATTAGTTATTAGCTGTTCTATAAACAGCCTCAGGAACTAACCTCAAAACCTTAATCCATGGGGATAGTGATGCTTCTTAGTACTGAGAAGGATAAACCTAACTACTCGATTAATCTCAAGTTGAAAACCTTGCACTACACTTCGGCTACAAACAGCTTGCTTCATCAGCACATGTAGACATGAGAACAGATTCAATCATCTTTTAGAAGCCTTGGTAATCAATCCCAGTATACATTATTACTCTGTAATGAATGTTAATGCAATTTAGTACCCTGTGACGAATATCAGTGTAATAATAATAATCATTATACACGTTACAGTATATTCTGTGAAGTGCTTTGGGACGTCTCTATAACATGATAAGGCACTATATCAAATGCAAGTATTATTTTAATCATTGCATTTGATATAGTGCCTTATCACGTTGTTGAGACATCTCAAAGCACTTCACAGGACGTACTGTAAAGTGGATTGACTTTATATTTTATGGACGAAATGTGGCAGCCAGTTGTGTACAGCAGTGTCCCAAAAACAGCTATGAAGTGAATGACCAATTTTCTTTGGGGGATTGTTTGCTAGGACACCAGGAGAAACTCCCTTCTCTTTTCGAAAAGCACTATTGGATCTTTTACATCCACTTGAGCAGGCAGATGGAACGTCATCTGACATGCACAGCATTGGTCTTGACTCCCTTAATTGTATTAGTTCTTAATGTAATTGAATGAACCCTTTTTGTAATTGAAGGTCTATATTTGAAAATTGTTTTGGAGTTTTTTTTCATGCCTCTTTTGAGCAATTTTAATTTTATTTAAAAGAAAACTAATTATTTTTCTATTTCCTGGATACATACACCATTTATTTCCCAGCTGAGAAGATTCATATTATGACTTACATTCTCCCCCTCCCTTCTCATTGGCGATTGTGTTGGTGTAAGGGAGAGAGAACCACTGCTGCTTAGGAGAAATACAATACAATTTTCATTTATACAGCTCTTTCACTTCAGGAGCATGTCTCAAAGCAGCTCAACAAAGCTGGATGGTTACCGAAGTTGGGGGAGGGGATCTACGGGGATTTTGTGGGGGAGACAGTGTAGTCAAAGAGGTACTTTATTCTGAAAACAAAAACAGAAATCGCTGGGAACACTCAGCAGGTCAGGCAACATCTATGAAGAAAAGAAAGTGAGTCAACGTTTCAGGTCCATAAACCTTTGTCAGATCTTCCTCGCTTTCCTTTCTCTTTCTTTTCAGATTTGCAGCATCTGCAGTATTTTGTGTTTTGTAGGTACTTTATTATAATAATAACAATCCTTGCATTTGATGTAGTGTCTTACAATACTACAATACTATACAAAATTACATTTGTATAGCGTCTTATCGTGTCTTTGAAATGTCTCAAAGTGCATCACAGAATATACTGTAAAGTGATTGACTGCATATTTCGTGGGGGAAAAGTGGCAGCCAATTGTGCGCAGCAGCGTCCCACAAATAGCTTGCAAGGCGAGTGCTCTAACCAATGCGCTACAGGACTCCACTTTGAATGAACAGAAGGGAGGGGGAGGAAGCGAATCAGAGAGACTTTGGGATGTAGTTCCAGATAAAGTAGGGGACTTGAAGCAGAATAGCGCTCGCTGAGCGAAGGAAGTAGCTGGTTCAGCGTAAGGCTGAGATGAAAACTTATCTTGATGGAGTGTGGAGGAGGCATTAACTAGTTTCCGGGAAGAAGCAGGCCACATTGTAAGCATTACCTGGGCACGATTTTACTTTGTGTGAAAGTAACAAGTTTTACTCTGCCAGCTGGCTGTGTTCTAAAACTCCTGTGGATTTTTGCTAGCAAACAGTTCTGCAGAAGATGTGCCTTCCTACCTTCCTGGAAAAGTAACAGATTCAGAGTGGTAAATTTTAACGAGATGCCAAAATTAGATTTCACATAACAACGCCTGCAGGAAAACGCTCTGAATTACTTTCACATAATGGCTTATCACCTGCCTTTCTTTCGGCGCCTTTGAGCTGCTTGAAAAGTTCTTAATATACACGATTAAGGAAATAACAACAATAAATAGCATTTATATCGCATCTTTCACTTCGGGAGGATGTCCCAAGCCATAGTTCATTCGGGGTTTTCTACCTGAGCTCTGGGGTTTGGATTCGGGAGGGGTGGGGTCAAGGGAGATGACTGAAGGTGTGAGCAAGGAGGTAGATCTTGATATGAAAGAGGCGAGGTATGATGAAGTGACTCTGGGGCAGATTTCCAGAGAGTGGGGCAGAAAGGCTGAAAGCCCGACCACTGATGATGGGGTGGACAGAGCAGGGAACATGAACTAGACCAGTGCCTGCAGAGGGAGCAGGTGGATTGGTAGGGTGTTAGAAGGTCACAGAGGTATCTTCTTTTGTTTGTTTGTTCTTAGCTCCCGGTGCTATTTCTATTTACTAACAAGATCGTTTTAAAGGGTGACCTATTGTCAATCTCACGATGAGTCTGTTAAACTGAAAAATAAATATTGTGGTTTTAAATGCTCCACCAGGAAAACCTCATCATCAATAGTGTGAAGCAAACTTGCATCAGAGCAGAGCTCTCTGTGGTCAATGGGATGTACTTTTGTTATCCTGCATGAGACTTGGAGGGAGGCCCAGAGGTTAGGG